TAGGTGTTGCAAAAATCAAGACTTCAAACAACGCTGAAAGTGCGATGAGGTGGATATTTACTTTTTTCTTTCATCTTTGCGTCCAGGTGGCGCCATTTGTACTAAAAATAACCCAACAAGCATTTCATATGGTTTTGCGACGTCTCTGTTCCCGGCTATACTCTCGCTCTTCTTTCGCCTCCCTCCTTAAATGATATTAACCGAAGTGTTCATCGATTTAAACTAACTCTCTCGGAGAAAAAATAACTGACTTGAAGCAATAATCTAAAGGTGTGATTTTGGTTCAGGACCCATGAAGCGCGACAATATTTGCATTTCTCAGGGCCAGCGCAGGGCATTGTAAATCGGTCAAGCATTCTAAGCAGCCTTGCCACTAACAAGCTACAAATATATAGGAGACATTAACACCTCTTCTACTTTAATGTTAGAAGTATATCTGAAGAAGCGATTGACGGTGCCAGTTTCACTACTAGCAATGTTACTGACCACTACGCTACTTTGTGCAATGTTCCCTATTGTCCAGTTGATGACAGTGTCAACCAAGTATGGAGATCTTGAGGGCCTGATAGATTCCTACCCGAATCCCTACACTCCGTTCACATCCGTCATCAAGTTTCTTGGTGTTCCCTTCGCCGCTCCACCGATTGGAAAGCTGCGGTTCAAGGCACCACTGCCGCCAAACGAATGGAAACCGACGGTTCGCCAAGCAAAAGTGCTCCGAAAGATCTGTTGGCAGGATAAAACCTTCGAATTTCTAGACAAACTTTTTAATGAAAATTTCATATACAGTGAAGATTGCTTGTATCTCAACGTCTACACCCCGAACGTTAGCCAGAGTTTCCCAGTGATGGTTTATATCCACGGTGGTGGCTACGAACTCGGTTCAGCCCTTCCATGGCCCGGTGATATTTTGGCTCTTCAGGGACTGGTAGTTGTAATAATTCAGTATCGTCTTGGTCCATTTGGTTTCTTGACCACCGGAGATTCCGCGTCCCCTGGAAACTTTGGAATGCTGGATCAAGTCGAAGCTCTGAAATGGGTCAAAGAAAACATTGAGAATTTTGGCGGGAATCCCAACAAGGTGACCATATTTGGAGAAAGCGCAGGGGCAACAAGCGTAAGCCTCCATCTGATGTCGCCTCTTTCCCAGGGGCTTTTCCACCGAGTTATCGCGGAGAGTGGTGTAGACTTGTGCTCCTGGGCAATTCAACCAACTTCATTAGGTGTCAATTACGCTAAAGAACTTTCTCAAAAATTAAACTGTCCAGTGGGTAATCACGATGCTATGGTAAACTGCATACGAGAGAAAGGCGCCGCTGACATACAAAATGCGTCTAAGTCAACAAACAGTTATCGGTCTGTTGATTACCTTCAATGGGCGCCTGTTGTGGATAAAAACTTTCTTCATGATACACCTCAAAATCTACGGGTAAAAGGCGATTTTGAGCGAGTACCGTTAATGATTGGTTTTACCAGCAACGAAAGCGCAGACAGTCTTGAATCCATCGCGGAGAAGTTTTTCGACTTGACAGAGAGTGTAGACAACGGAGTCAGCCCGGTTTATTTCAAAACATTTATAGCTAAACTTTCGCAAGCTCTAAACAGCAGGTTAATCTAACACTGTATATTGAATGTTTTTTTTTATCACCTGACGAAGGCTTCCACACAGGTCGCTGAAACCTTGGGGCACTGTCGCCAACAGCAGGGACCGAGGAGCATATTTTGAATTGGTGGGGCTAGCTCGCGCTACGCGCGAACTCGACTGGCACCAAAGGCGCCAGTCATCTAGCGGGGTCCGGGGACATAACGTCTCTGGAAAACTTTGAAATTTAGAGCTTCTGAAATCACCGGAAAAGCGTTTATTTCTAATTTTATATCACCACTCTGTTAGTTTTCTGCACAAAAACGTATATTTAAAACATAATTATAGCATGATATGACGTTCATTCCAAGTGACAAAAGCTTAATGTTTTAAAAAGCCAACTGTTAAATTTATAACCTTTTGCAAGGGTACTCCTGGCCACCTTCGCTGTCTCTGAACAGTAATTCTATTCAAGAGAAAAACTATGACAGTTAATTATGATATAAGTCCTGAGCTCAAGCCATTTACCGTTTTCGTCTTTCTAACTCTTCTCTTTTTTCCTTTTTCTTTTCTTTTTCTATTTTGACAACCTTGATCATGAGCTGAGGCCATTTCCCTTTCATCTGAAGATGGCACACTCTCAAGCTGTTGAGAAGCTGGGGATAATTTTTCGATGATTTTGAATAAAAACAGCTCTATTTACAACCACACTTTCACAACCTCAAAACAACTGATTTTCTGACCGAGATAACCAAACTCCAGTATTATTACTGTCCATTCAAATCATTTACACGTTGTACTATTTGTTTTAGGAACCAAACCGCTGACCTAATCGCAGATGCCTTAGAGTTCATGTACACCTCATGGCCTGATAACAGTGATAAATACGCCCTGAGAATCCAACTAGTAAGTCTCGTCAGTGACAAAGTATACTTCGCACCAAGTCACCAGGTCGGCGATATTCATAGTCGAGTTTCTTCGGTTTACATGTACGAGTTCGCTCGTCGACCAAAAACTATACAGGCAGCCGAATGGATGGGTGTGCCTCACGCTGCAAATGTGATATTTGACTTTGGCTGGCCATTCCTACCGAATTTCGCAGGTGTTTACGACGACGCTGACCAAAACGTCTCTTTGTTTATTATGACCACATACGCAAACTTTGCCCGCTCCGGCGATCCCACACCCCAATCAGTCAGCGGTATTACCTGGGAAGGCTACAATTCGAGTCACAGAGCTTACCTACAAGTTGACACAGTTCCCAAGATGAAGTCGTCATTTAATCCTCGTCGAGTTTCTTTTTGGAATGACTACTATGCTAAACTGACGGAGATAAACTTTGATTCTAAGGAGATCATAGTGAGCAGTGCAAGCCCCACAAATGTTGCCATGGCGGCGTTTAATCTGATTGCTGTTTTAACCATCTTTTTCATGTAACAATAACCGACTTTTACATTTTAGTGACCACTGTCTCCTAAAGATAAGTCACGAAGAATTTTTAATTCGCCTTCGTAATTTAGTCCACAGCTATTTAGTAGCTTCAGTAACTTTACCTCAAGGGAATTTCATCAGTTACTCGCTTAAACTTCTCGCAAGAAGCAAAATAATGGTTGAGAAACGTCCTGCAAGTTTCGATGACTGAGATACCCAACTGTTTACATAATGTTAGATTTGTGGACTTAGATGCAATATATAGATTTAGCCAGGGCTAAAAGCAAAGCTCTTCTTAGTGTAGTTATAGTTTACTCAAAGAAAACATAAAATCGTATAATGCTAAACGGCGACGGCAACGAGAACGGGAAAAAATCAATAGGTCTAATCAGCGAAAAAATAACTTTCCACGTGCAAGACACTTTTTTCTACAATTCTTTGCCGCAGTTCGTGAAACTTCTAGCCTCCTCCGCAGGCTTCACTGTCTGTTAGAGAACGAGTGGGAGAATGGTGTTGACTGGCGGATACAAATCCAGTTTGAGTACGGAATGGTGGGGGAATTTTGAGTGACAAAAGCCTTTTACCGACACCTACAATAGTTTGTTAGTTTGTCGAAAGGAAAATGGCGTTAGAAAAGCTTATCCAGCATATTCCTTCATCTGAATCCTCCCTGACCCGCAAATAACGTATTTACATTTTTCCTTCTCGTAAAATTTACCTCCAACCTAAGCACATGTAAGCCTATGTGTGTTTATGTAGCTGGCGATGGATTGCAAAACTAAATGCAAGGTGTCATACAAGGATAAAAGAATGAGCATACTTTATAGAACGCTACAAAAAAAATTATCCGTGTTGATGTACTGTGCGATCGAATTATAAACCAAAACTAAACTTAGCAACATTTAAAACTTAAGCTATAGATTTAGCCACGGCTAAAAGCGTGGCTCTGTTCAGTCTAATCTACTTATTATAGTTTACTCAAACAGAATACGTGTAATACTAAGTGGCCACGAAAACGAAAACAGAATTTAAAAAAAAAACAATTGATCTATTTAGCAAAAAACAACTTTGCACGTGTAGCAAACTTTTCTGTACATTTCTTTGCCGCTGTTTTGCACGACACAACGTAACTCCCAGAAACTTCCTAAATCCTAGTTACACGTTTTATGGAGGAAATGTCGTATGTGTTCCTATTCGTTTTTTTTTTTTCACCGCCGCCGTTTTTTGGCGATTAATGCTCTACTGCACTCACTTGCAGCTCTTGCTGCAACCTTCAGTGCTGTGGTTTTCTATTGTTACCTTTAATAATGATGCAAAGCCAACGCCAAAGTGAATTTTTTGCGAATTTGATGTATCACGAATCCGATCCCGGCTAGGCGGGTTACCCCACCTTGGCTGGGAGGGTTACCCGAGCTGCTAGACCGGGTTACCCGCCTTGGCGGGTCACCCCACCTATCATGTAAAATTGTAAACGTGATCAAATTAAATTGAGAGATTATATGGACAGGCGGGTTACCCTACCTCAGCGGGTTACCTCACCTACCTGGGGTCCCCACCTCCATATAAACAGGCCCTAAGAGCGCTCTCGCTTGTCGCCTAGTCGGAATGTTGGAATGACAAAAAAATTTTCTTCGGGGACTGGACATTACAAAGGACGTCGTTGATGGAATGATCAGCTTTGTCAATCCAGTTGTTCTGGTTTTGTGGTGTAGACGGTTATTTATTTATTTTTGTTTTATTTTATCATTTATTATCATTGTTATCATAATACCTTTTTCATCTTTCGCCTTCGAGCTTGACGGGGAGGCCCGGGGGATAGATAGAGAGATAGATAATGACGTCATTCTCTATTTACAGCTTATGGAACACTTGATCGTAATTCATTCATGAGCCCACGATGCTGCTGCACCATTAGAACACACACGACGATCCACGACGATCACTTTCGGTGACGATTGAAATCTGGTTAGGTTTTTATGTTTTCCAGATGTACAGCGCAAAACACTCTAAAGCACAAAGTTGTGCCTATTTCTGCTCAAAGAATGTCTTGGTGGCCCTCAACACTCTATACATCGTAAGTACGCGGCGAAGAATTTCATATTTGTGTAGCAGCGAATCATCACGAGCTTAAAATATTGTTTGGACTAGGAAAATGATTTTAAGGCTTACGTGGCATTTTGCGTTTATTTTGTCTGTATTTTAAGCTTCTTATCAGATTGATGAAATGTAAATCGTTGACTACTTAAAGTGATATTGAGACCTAGAAACTGGCAACTTTAATGGCGGTTGCCGAAGGAAATGTTTATAAACCAGGTTATAAACCGCTGTTACCGTGTTGTTCATTTGCATGCCAACTGCTGGATTAAAATTGTTCAGGACTGAAATTAAAGTGACAGTGGGTTTTGTACTGTCACCACTAGCTTGAAGAACATTCTAATCACGCTAAAACTTCTAGATCGCCGCCACTTTATGTATTTCTGATTTGTCTTTGTTAAAATCAACTACTGTTTTTTTAATCTTTTATGTTTTAGTAGTCTTATTGAGCACCTTGCCGTTCCACGTTTCTTGCATAAATAAGTTTGAGTTATTTTGAGTGGCACGTTTAACTAATAGGCCACCAATCCCATCTAACAATCATTGAGTTTGGGTTATCAAGTTTTATTTACAAGAAATGATCCATACATCGTTCAAACTGCTGAAAGATTGTAATAAGCTGGTTTGAATTCTACAAGACAAAAAATCATTTATCCAAAATATTTTGAATGCAATTTTGAAGTACACATTACTGTTTCAATTTTTCAAATTTTCTAGGTTCCAATCTAACTATCTACTAGGTAATCCCAATTACATATCAACAATGAAATGCTTCTTTGATAAGTTTGCAATAAAGCATAATGGGGCCTGGCCCTGTATGTCCTGATGTAGTGCTCAATACTTACAGTCAAGACAGGTCAAGCGTATCCCCAAGATTTTATTAATGAAATGATTATTTTAATAAATAAATCCATTAGTCATTCCCATAACAAGTGTCAAATTGAAATCTGCATTCCTGTATGTGTAGTGAGAAGTGAATATTTTACGAGAACTTCTCTGCATTTGGTCAGACTGAAAATCTTTGAATGGATAGAGTTACTTTGAAGTTCAGGGAAACTGAGCCAGTAGACATTTCATAACTGTCTGGCGAGTGAATCCACTGCTCGTTATGCATGCAAGAATGCAGAGATGAATCTGAAATCTACAACTACCAACGGATTTAACTTTCGAACAATTCATTAAAGGAACCTTGGGGAGTATGCTTGACCTGACCTGACTGTAAATAGGTCTACACTGCATGTAAGGACGATCCAGGAATTTTTTAGTAGGATCTAAACTTTTACTTTACTTCCTTCCATGTTTTTAGAATAAACTTCATTATTAGAGAAATTGAATATGTATTAATTAAGTCCTGGGGGATTACTTCTATATATTAAGGACGACACAAACAAAAAATTGAATTACACTCTATGTAAGGTTCTTATCAGAAAAAGACTTGCTATTCAAGGGAAAAACAAAGGATAAGAATAAATGATAAAACGTACTAAACCTTCATTAAACTGTGTTCATACTACGAACTGATGATACAGGGGAGGATCCAGGATTTTTTTCAGGAGGGGGTGCACTCGTCTCTTGCTCTACTTCAACACCAATAACCCACATTTTTTTTTTGCAGAATACCAGTTGTATTAGAAAACCAAAGGTCATCTCAGGGGGGGGGGGGTGCGCACCCCCTGCACCCTCCCCCTAGATCCGCCCTTGGGATAGTTTGTTTCTTATGTAGCTGGGTAACCTATAATCTAAGGATCAGACTGAGAACACAATGCCAAGAAGGGTAAAAATGATACCCTATTGAAGGATTGAGACCCTCAAAAGCCATACCCTAATGGGCGGCATGTACCTTCATGTATCTTGCCCTTATATTGGAGTAGGCCCCCTCCCCCTCACCCCCTGAGATTAAGTAACATAACTTAATGCTTAAGAAGTGGTGCTTCTCAAGCTGCATTAATTGCACCAGGAAAGTTGAGAACGATGACTTTTCAGTAATAGTTTTTTAAGTCTGCAAACTCTTCAGGGATGCCACATGTTATGTCTCATGATACATTCAATTTTAATTTATAAGTTTAAATTCTGTGTCATTCCAATCATTTAGGGTCATTTAGGAATGCTAAGCAAACACAGCCATACTAACATTACCCTGATAGAAAACAGCTGATATTGTGACACTATATGCCCAGTATAATACTATTACACACTATTATATTATACACAATAATACTATTACTGGTTTCCCCACTAAATGACATTTAAGAAACCCTGGGAAACAATTAATGGCGTCATACTGAAAATTGTTCTATACCTTTTATTCTTCTGCAGTGTTCGATGTGTTGCTTATTAATTTTTTTGTTGTTGTTTTCTTTTTTAGTTTATAGCCTTGATATTAATAGGAATAGCTGTTTATGCAAAAACATCAGCTCAAATAACAAGTTTGCCGATCCTTGGTGGTGTGGTTGCATGTGGTGTCTTTCTTCTGCTCGTTGCAATATTGGGTGTGGTTGGTGCTGTACGGCACAACCAAGTTATCTTGTTCTTTGTATCCTTTGCCAATTATTCCTGACCATCACTTTTTAAATTTTGTTTGCAGGTATTAAAGTTTATTGCTTGATTGCTAAATGTAACTTTGTTATTCCTTTTACAAACCTTAACTTTCTTATTTAGTATATGGTTATTATGTTTCTTCTCTTTATTATCCAAATGTCTGTTTCAATTGCTGCGGTAGCTATCTCTCATGACCAACAAGCCAGTCTTATGGAGGCAGGATGGAGTAGATCATCTGAAAAAATAAAAGATAAAATCCAGATTTTAAAAGATTGTTGTGGATTCAAAAATAAGTCATTAATAAGTGGTGACTCAACTATGGACCCTGCTGTTAAAGCCCTTGGACATCCTAGTTGCTCAGAAGTAAGTTAAAGGAATTTGTTGCATATTTCGCTGACCAGTTCTAATTCCATTTATTTGTTTTTTAAAAAATCTGAAAGATTATCTCCTTGATACTCATTCTGTGCCTTAATTTTATGTTTTCTGTACACTCTGCACCCAAGCAGGTAATTACTGAGTAATCTAGATCACTAAGAATGCCTATCACAGTGTGAAACCTTGATATAACAAAGGGTCAAGGGACTGGCAAAATTTGTTTGCTACAATGAGGTTTCGTCATATCAAGGTTCTTTTTCATGTATTTTATCATTCCTGGGGTAAAGAAAGTCGCTTGTTATAGTAAGGACTTGGTTATATAGAGGTTCGTTATACTGAGGTTCCACTGTAACAGAATATCTCAGCTTTGATAGACTTCCTAGTCACATTAACTTACAATAATTTAATTAACTTTTGTTCAATGCGTTTAATATTATGTTACAGTGTATGTGAGTGACTAAACAAAGAAATGATTAAATAATTAATTTTGTCACTTCTTAAGCGGTCAAAGGCCACGTTTTTTTCTGGGGAGGAGCATATGAGCACCACAGGTGCAAATATCTGAGACAATCGTGACTCGATATAGTTACTAGGGGGTCGTGGGTGGGGCATTCCACTCTAAAAATGTTCGTGAAATTGGATGGTCATGCAGAGGGTACAATTCACATGTTTCACATGCAATCACATAATCATCAGGCTACAGATGTTGCTTGTAAAACATGAAAATCTAATAACACTTTCCACTGCATGCATTATTGATGGTGTAGAGTAACTCCATCAATACTATTACTTGGTCAATAGAGCAACGAGTCATTTGATTTAGCTTTAATTTTAGTAATATACCATATTTCCTCACATAATAGCCATCCCTCAATTAATCGCCTCCCTCAAATAATCGCCCCCTTTAAATTCTTTAAATCCCAATGGTGTCCAACATCAATATTCTCCTAACACTATCCATACATTGTTAAGAGATTAGGTTATGAGAATTAATAAAATGATCACCAAAGAGAAATACCTTGATCTTTTACCAAATTCTCTTAAGGAAATCTATGAAGACTAGTTTGGAGAATTTGTATGTGGATATTGGGAATTAAAGGGTTAAAATATTTGCCTCCATCAAGTTGTCGGAAAAAGTGCACACGACAATCTTGAAAGGTATTGTGGGTGGTTTTTAGTTCACTGTTTTTCAAAGAAATTTCAAAGAATGGCACGAGAGGCTATGGACATATGTTTGCAATGGCTAAAGGAAAGCAACAAAAGTACTGTAGGTTCGACAGCTACAGTGTTAAGAACAAGTGTATTGATCATATCCCATATTACCTTTCGGGATTGCAAAAAATGTAAACCACTCATCGCCCACCTTAAGTTTACACTCTTTTAAAGGCTTCTGGTCCAAAAAGACACCCTGTCCAAGGCACTTAATGGTGGATTTGTGTACCCTGTGTAAGACTCAAGACCGTGGAAATGATTCCTCGTTGATTAGCACATATCCGTATAGGCCAAATAAGGGAATGCACCCCCCCCCCCCCCCCCCCCCGGGGTGTGCACCCAAAAATAAAAAATTTTCTCTAAAAAAAAAAAAAAAAAAAAGAAAAAAAAAAAATTAAATATAATCCCACACAGAGGACACTACTTGTGATAAAAATAAAAAAAAAAAAAAAATTTATTATTTACAGGTGTACATAAAAAAAAATAAACCCCCCCACCCCCCCCCTAAATTTACACCCCTTTAAAGGGTTTTTGTCCAAAAAAACACCCCGTCCAAGGCACCTAATGGTGGATTTTGGTACCCCGTGTAAAACCCAAAACCCGGGAAAAGATTCCCCCTTGATTAACCCCAATCCCTAAAGGCCAAAAAAAGGAAAGCCCCCCCCCCCCCCCGCCCACAGGGTTAGCTACCATAATTTTAATACTTTTCTGATAAAAAGAAAAAACTGAGAAGTAAAAATAAATTTCTAATAGGTCCCCCAAGTTGGGCACCTTTTTGGTAATAATATGAAAAAATAGTAATGTTTGACTGTTGTACAAATTCCTTTCAGTTAAAGTGCTGTGGAAATTTGGGTGACCCATGTGCAACCTGCAAGACTTGTTATAATGCTCTGGAGGATTTAGTGAATCATCTTCTAAAAGTGGCTGGTGGTGTTGGATTGTTCTTCAGTTTTACTTTGGTAAGTTTCTTATGTACAAATGTGCATAGCCTGCCATTTTGGGGCACAGGGAGGTACTCCAGATTTCAAGTGACAGGGGTGATCATAGGGGGGGCAAAAAACAAAACCCAAAAAAATCCCTGGACCAAATATTAACCCCCAAAAAATCCCATACAGCACTTACAAAGCCACTCATATGGGCACTACCATGAATCTTCAGATTGTTTTGAATACCCAGAAAAATCCCTACTTAAATCAAGTCACCCAAGAAAATACTTGCCATTGAATTTTCCTACCTCCCCCCCCCGCCCCACAAAAAAAAATATATATATCCCGGAATAAAAAATTTCAAACCCAAAAAATCCTTCAATCATCCCTGTCACCTGAAACCCGGAGCACCCCCACTGGGTTTTGGGGGAGCCTGCTCGCAGGTTAGAATTAGTGTACACCAACAGTAATAATTAATGGTTCATGAGACTTCAAGGGGAGTCTATTCTAGTCTGTATTTATATGCTTTGGTTGTACTAGAAGTGCATGCAGCTTAAATCCTACTAGTTTAAAACCACTCCTGTCTACTTTAACTAGTTTAGAGAAGCATTTAATAAATTTATCCAAAAGATAGAACATAACAGGGGGCAGCTGGCAGGAGGCAACCTTTCGGCTATTTTACAAGGTGGTTGATGAGTTGTACTCAGACTGCTGATGATCAGGGGACTTGATACCAGAACCTCCAGATTGTATGTCTGATGCAGACACACTGTCTAGTATGCCAAACTGCCTCCATTAAAAAATGAGCAATTAGATGACTGTGTTGCAGCCAAAGAAGCGATTTGTGTAATATCAAGAATCATGATTAACAATTAGAATTTCAAACTTAAAGAAGACAACCAAAATTGTAAGTTTCAGCAGTTATCCATTGAGAATATGCTCAGCGTTTTCTCTAGAGCCTCAGATTAATGGGAATATGGTCTGAGTAAGAGGTATGGCCCTGGTTGTTCAAACTTTAGACAGCAAGTAATTGCGCTATCCTCTGGATGGAGATTTGAATCCAATGTATAGCGTATCCATCTTTTGAACAACTGGGGCCTGTTGCTTTTAACCACATTGCTTGCCAAAGTTTAACAAGACATTTGTAGAGTTTGATCTTTAACCATTGGTAATTAAGGAACTTTCTGGTTACTTCAGGGACACTATGTAAATTTCTTTTAACTCTGTTTCATAAAAATGTAACAGTTCAAGTCTGATCTCTGCTCCTCATTTTTTCTGCTGACTTCCTTCTCTGTTTCTATCTCTCACAGTTGTTTGGTGTATACATGACATGCCGATACAGGAATCAGAAGGATCCTCGAGCCAACCCTGGGGCATTTCTATAGTGAATATCACTACTGCACTCTTGCAGCATAAACTTCTTTTTTTACTAAACTAATGTACTCTTTTAACACTCATTCAAGTGTAAACTAAAATAATTATATGCTGATTAATTGTTGCTTGGTGTCTTAGAGGTGACATTATGATTGTGAAAGATGATGCTGATGATGATAATGATGATAACCTTGTTAACGTGGTTCAGTTTTTTTCTTCTAGTTTTCAGGCAACTGATCTTGATTTTATTTGATTTAATTGGTTGCTTTTGTTAGATAAAGAGTCTGACAAAAACTTTGTATAGAAAAACAAGAAGTACATTTGATATGTATAGACACTCTAGCATTTGAGATAATTATCTTTTGTAAAAAAAGGTTGGGTATTTGAACCCGGGGGGGGGGGGAGGGGGGGGGAGTACTCCCTTTATAAGCTATATGGGTATGTGCCGCCCCATCGGGTAGGATTTTTGCGCTGTTTTGGTCTGAAAACAGGTATACATGTTGCCCATTTTGGTGAATCGGGTATGGTTTTCAAGGGAACTACGGGAGTGTATGAACATAGTTATCATTTCAATTCCAGATTAGTCAAAAAGAAAGAGAAATATGCGAATTCGAAATGAATTTGAAGAAATTTTTGTTTGCGCTCTAATCTAAGTAATGATAACATAATTTTTGCCAAAAGGCCAGGTCTGGTCTGCAAACGGGTGTGGAATTACATTTTTTGGTCTGAAATAGGGTCAGGATTTGAAGAACCAGGCGGCACACCCCCACCAAGAATTCCCAGGAGTACTCCCCCTCCCCCCAGGTTTGAACCACTGGCCTTACAGTAAAACCCATAAACTGTCAGTGTCCAGGGCCACCCACTTTCTACTCTATTAGTGTTATATATCACTTCATAAAAGAAATCAATTGTTACGTAAAATAATCCTATTATAAGTTGGACATGTCCTTACAACTAGCCTGTGTAAAGCCACCCCCTCCCCTCAGTTAACTGAATCAGGAAAAAGCCTTCCCAATTTTTTTTTCTGAGGGGAGGGGTGGCTGTACACAGGCTACCCTACAACACAGTAACCTAGAGTTAGTCCCTGCAATTCTTTGATTAATTTTCTTTAACTGAGACCCCTTTTACAATGGACTCCCTGTGCTGGTCCAAATGGTGTCCATCTTAGAGACAACTCAAGACATTATTAAATGTTGTTGGTGAATTATGTAAGCACTTGAGAATTTTTTAAGAATGCTCAAGAAGTTACATAATCGCACAACCTCCTTCCCAGGGGTTTCGGCAATTTCTAACGTGACATCACCTGTCAAGCTAATCTGAAGAATTCATTTGGGTTCCTCCACTCACTTGAAAACCATGAACTGGCCTGGGGACAAGGCTGATAAGCACACTGCTACAGCTCATTCCTCTTTGAGCACTTTTTTCTTGTGGAATAACCCCTTTTGTGCTTATGTAATTAGATAATGCATTTGGCAAATTTTTGTTGTAATATATTTGACATTACAGTACTAAACTGTAACTTAGGGTAGTAAATATTCATTTTGCTCTATTTAACTGTTTACATTTGAGCAAAGACGAGCAAATGAAAGATCATTCTTGAATAATTTATGATTAGTAGCCTTGTTTTATTAACTTACATTAAGTCTTTACTGCAACAACGCAGGCTACTGTTTTGTGAGTTTTTTAATGCAAAGAAACTGAACGTTTTAAAGCAAACAAACTATTTCACAAATTATTTGTACCAGTTAAGTAGGTGATGCATATGAAATAAATCATAACAAAAATTCTTTCTTGTGCCCATGTTACTTCCAAGTGCCTGCTACGCAGGCTAGCCCCCACCTCTATTACATTCAACCCCTATTAAGCTATCATGATAGGGATGAGCAGAGACACTTTATGTATAAGTGATTTTAACTTTATTAAACTTAAAAGACAGCTTGATATCCAGTTCATTTTACCCTGATGACTCTACACACAAAGGCACCAATAAAGGTTTCTCAATTAAGGAAACTGCCCACCTACCTTCCCTAAACCAACGTTAAGACTTACTTGTCACCTAGAGCAGCATGTTGGCTTAGGGGAGGGGTATGTGAGCAGTTTCCCAGAAAACTAAATTGAAAAAGCCCCAGCTTCTGATGAGCCCCAGTTTAGAAGCTTCTAGTACTTAGAGAAATACTCCCTTCCCAGCGAAGGGGGTCTGAGTAGAGCAAATACAATACGAATTTCCCCTCATTCCCTACGGGCACTTCACCCTACCAGGGTGGTTTATACCGTAATCCGGAGCAAACAATTTCCATGTATTCTTCCCAAAACATTTCACAGACCAGTTATTTTTAGGCTGATTTTGAGGCGAATCTACAATAGATCTTTGCGTATGTTTTTAAGTTCCAAGATCCAAAGTTAAAATATTAATTTTTAGCATTTTAACGAAAAATTTTTTCCTATGACAGGAGTCCATAACCCCCTTTCCCCCAAGGTGTGTACTAGGAAAGCAGCTTTTAATTTCGACTCCGTTTTAGAAAATAAACATGCACTAAAAATGATATACCCTTCCAGAGAGCTCAGACGGAGAAGCTCTTACTTTCAATTTTTAGGTCTGGTGGTGAGATATAACGTGATTACATTTGAACAGCATCTCTTTTAATACAAAACCTCCTGTTAAGATTTGGCAAGTTTGCCACGGTAATAACCTTTGTGGAAATTTTTGTTCGTAGATTTAAGATTTTACACACAGTCTGGGTTTCATTGGTTATACTACAGAACATGTTTTGTACCTTGAATTGTTAGGAGAGCGGATGAAGCAGCCTGGAAAGTCAGCTAAATATGTTAAAGAACCCTCATTCGGACCTCGTCCTGTTGTGGCTTCATAAGCACACTTTGACAGTAGACTCGATCCTGTATTAGCTAATCGAATAATTAGATGTATTTACGCTGTATAAGCTAATAAGATAAGATGTATTTACCTGTTTTCCTGTGACTTTATGAGTCTTTTTTGAAAGGATTTGAATCCGATCCGAGACAGTTAAAATTGCTGGTATCAAATGGTTGTTTGTCAAGCGCTTCGTAAATAGGACGCGACAGTTTATACCTCTCAAGTTTCCAAAGAGAGTTACGTTAATACTTTACTTGAGACTTAACTGTCGCGGCCGATGCGACAGACAAACAAACATTTGACACCGGAATGTTATAAACCGTCTCTGATCGGATTCAAATCCCTTCCAAAACGACTTCTAATGACACAGAAACACAGGTAAATACATCTTATTTTATTAGCTAATACAGCTGTATGTCCTTAATTAAATGCATCTTATTATTTTATTAGCTGACACAGCGTTCGTGTTCCCCGTGTGAGAAGTCACGCGCGCGGCTCGCGAGGGGAGACACGAGAACGAGGAAGCGCGTTCTCTCGAAGCTTGCTTTGCTCGCTAATGGTCGCCACTCGCATTGGGACAAATGGTCTTACCTAGTGGCTTGATGACACTGAGGTAAACACTGGGCACTGAAATTAAGACTTTAAAATTTTAAAATTTGTTTCTGTCTTTATTTTATGTTTCAGTTGTTGGGCGTGTGTTTGACATCTCGCGTTCGAAGTCGACGGCAGAAACCATATTTGGACTGAACACAAGCTTGGCCGAAAGCTGTCAAGTACACATATCATTACAGACGTCCTTTTGGTACTTGTTGGTGACAGCAATTTTACCTGATGTCTCAAAGGAAATTCAGTCATATTGATAGTGACAGTAGCCTCCCCGCAGACGTCCTTTGGGGTTCGTTTGTCACGCATTCATTTCTACTGGTAGAAATGAATGCGTGACAAACGAACCCCAAAGGACGTCTGCGGGGAGGCTATAGTGACAGTGCAATATGTTTATTTAATATCTGATATCCCGCTAAAGCTACGGTATAAAAAAGGGCAGCGAAAAGTGCAACTTGTCTTACAACATTGCTAAAAAACGAGTTAATTGCGATTTTGCGCGTTTTACCACCCAGAAATCAAACTAGGGCCACTGGGTGGGTACTCCTGGGAATTCTTGGTGGGGGTGTGCCGCCCGGTTCTCCAAATCCTGATGCTATTTCAGACCAAATAAATGTCTTTTTTCACATCCGTTTTCAGTCAGACCTGGCCTCCAAAATCCATACCCGGGTGTATTGATTACGGCCATGTTCAATATAGGGACAGGTGGTGCAATTCCTGTTGTTGCACCGAAAGGAACCGGGGGTGGGTCGTTAGTTACTGGTGTCGTTGCTGTTACTCTGGGCTCTAACGAGGATGTCGCTAATAATTTTACAACGGCGATAAGCTACTAACGGAAGGTTTTGAAAAACTGTTAGGCTGAACAGTTTTCAAAAACCCTAATTTCAATCTGTGTGAATCTTCTTCAGTTTTGCCCATCCGTGCATCTGTTGTTTCTGTTATGTTATTTTAACCTTCCCTTAAAGTTTTAAGCGGTCATTTTTATGTTTCTCTTAATTGAACGGGCATTTTGTAATTTCCTAATTGACACAGCTCGTTAAAATTGATTTTAAATTCGCATATTTCTCTCTCTTTCTTATTCATTTGGAATGGAAACGATAAATACGTTTATACACTCCCGTAGTTCCCTCGAAAACCATACCCGATTCCAGACCAAAATGGGCAAAGTCAGAACCCCAAAGGGAAAGTCTACACCCGTTTTCAGACCAAAGCGGCGCAAAAACTATACCCTCGTGGGCGTCATATGCCTATATGGCTTTATATAAAGGAGTACCCCCCCCCCCCTTGGGTGTTTATATTTTGCTGAAATTGGAATATAACGGGATGATTTAAAGTAATCTCATTGTTTAATAACCGACAAAAACTGAAAAATATTAGCAATTTTAGGAAATAGGAAAAGAAAAGGAAATAGGATGCCGGGAAACCTCAATAGCCGTAGGCAATTAGCAGGCCTAAATAATTTATTATTTATTTGTTATTTATAAGAAAGATAAAGTTATTGCAATATGTTTCGGAAAAATTACAGCTTGTATGGTTAATAAAGTTAATGAAGTTATAGAAATAAACTTTCAACTTTCAGGAGCAGGTAATCGGCTCCTGGCTGATTCTGTTCTTTTGTAAAAGAAACTGGAAAAAATCAAAAGATATGTCATGTCCTACGGTTTCTTTAAGCTGACAATCAATTATTTCTCGCATTTTATGCTTTAGAGGGTATACGTAAACCAAGTGATTGAACTTACCCTCAGTTCGTAACTCTACGCGCATACCATCCACGCGTGATTGTGTTCGCAGGAGACTGGAAATGACCAATGACCTGCCAAACACCGCATGGGGACTCTGTGGAACTTAGACTCATGGAGAGCATGGCTCTAGGTTTCTTCGACTTCAAGATGTCGAAGATAAAGTCAGTGAAGTTGCCTTAATGTCATTATATACACTAATGTACAAAACCCTCAATGACCAATCTGCCCCCCATCTGAGAGGGTGTCCGGTCGTTTTCGTTGGCAAAAAAATGCTCCAAAGTTTGCTGGTGTTCATTTAACTCATTAGTGCAATCCGTTTGGTAGTTAAAGTTAACTCTAAGTGTCTTTAAAAAGATGTTATACAAAAAGTCAATTGCAGCGCCATCCGGACATGATGCAGCGAATCGACTTTAATATTTTGCAGCGAAACGACTTGTAGCGTAACGGCTTTAGAGCGAAACGTCCTGTAAGCTTAGCCTGCGTAGCAGGCGCTTGGAAGTAGTGGGCACAAGAAAAAACGGGCACGCGAGAAGGAGACATCTTCTCGTGTCTCCCTCGCGCGCGCGCTTGTTCTCTCTTTCGCCCACAAGCGCCTACGCAGGCTATGTAAGCTCTGAGAGCCTCCTTTACAAAACTCAACGATATTAATAAAAAATTTCAGACGATTACTTCGAGTCATTTTTACTCCCTTAGCAGAGTCAAATAAATTTGTTGATTTGATTCGATTTTATCATATTTCACCTTTTCATTTACTGTTTTTTTTAGCTCCCAATATCGTGCTATTATTTTACCCTGCTCTCTATTAAATGAAGGGAACGTACAGCAATGCTGCGCTTTTAGATTTCTATAATTTAGCTATGGAGAAACAATGATTGCTTTTGAGTCCCTATCACAAACGATTCACACACAAAAAAACTCTTTATGATTTTGTTTTCGACTGGTTTTAATTTTATTTCCTCCGCACAAGTCACTTTTTAAAATAGCACTCACTCCGCTCTCCGCACTCCGCTGTCCCCAGGCCTCCCCTTTCATTAAACCGGAAACGACTCCTCCCTTGAGAGTCAAAATACTGACATTTCACTGCAAATATTCATTTTATCTTTGGAAGCGTATGCATTGCTCGGGATCTGCCTTCACAAAATGGTAATGTTTAAGTCTGTCACACTGGATGCAGTTTAAAGACAAATTTTATCGTCAGAACAACCATTCTTACTCCATTTTACTCTTGCAGGGAAGTTTATCGGAAGATCAAATAGCAGGTAGGGGCGACGTGATATGAAGTTTCATGAATTTTCCAATCATCACGTTTTCCTTTCTTGTCAATTTTCCCGTAAAATGGTTCAACTGGTCGATATGTTTTTTCTCTGTCATCTCCAGAACATAAGGAAGCCTTTTTACTTTTCGATAAGAGAGGAGATGGAAAAGTTGACTCTGCTCAACTTGGAGAAATCCTTCGATCTCTTGGATTGAACCCCACCGAAGCTGATGTCAAGAAGGTTTTGAAGGAAGTAGATCCAAGCGGTAGGAAACTTGTTATAGTGAAGATATAATTATAATAGTTAACACAACACTAAAGAAAGCTTCGAACTGAGTAGATTCCTCATCGAAAATTGCCGACATATCCATCTGAACTGCGGTTTCGAAAGCATGTTTACATAACACAACGTCGACGTTTTAGAATTGTTTAAGCTTATGTTTTTGTACATAATAAACCTCGGAAATTCTTTTATCGTTTTGGGCAATTTCCTCTGCCTTTCATAGGTTTCACTCTATAAAGTAACCGTTTTACTTGAGGAATTTAACTGCCTTTGCTTTGCTAGCGAATAATGAACGACATCATAACATACGAAAAATTGTTTGCTCGCTTCACCAAGGAAGAATGTAGCTTAAACAAACTTCAGTTTCTGAAAAAAAAAATTTGATGATTCCAGCTGTGATGCATGTGCAGGTCTACAAATTTAAGAATGTCTGTCGCGATCATTTAATAATCTGACCCTTTGTATTGATCTGCTAATCAACCCACGTTACCAAGACGACACGAGAGTTTGGGCAAAATAAGTTTATTGAACCAAGCGGAGAAAGCTGACCGATAGCTTGACAATAAACCAAGACGCAACTAGATTAAATTAAATGAAACGAAGGGACAATATGGTTATAAACTCAACAAGAATACTGAGATATAAGGGGGGGAGAGGTGGGCAAGAGGTTACGCGTCGCCTCCGGATCTAACAAAAGATGACCGGTTAAGAATGTGCGCTCGTTTATATAAGACATTTGACACCTCCGTAACTAGTTAATTAACGATCATTAATAAATGATTACTCAATCAACCCACGTTACCAAGACGACACGAGAGTTTGGGCAAAATAAGTTTATTGAACCAAGCGGAGAAAGCTGACCGATAGCTTGACAATAAACCAAGACGCCAAAGTGCCCAAACTAGAGTGAGAATATTGGTAGTGGGTTGAAAGAAGACTAAGGCATAAGTCGATAATAAAACTTAGTCGGAAAACATAGACTGAAGCGTTAGGGCCATAGCCTTGGCTGCCTGCTGTTTTTGTGTCTGAGATAATTCTAAATAAACAAGATAAGCGTCGCTCTTCCAGTCTCCCTGCAGTTTGATTATTTCGGATGGAATATGGCAATCAAATGCGAAAGTCGCCCCACCCCTTCGAAAACTATGAGGAGAGTAAAGGGACGGATCTAAATTGAGCGTAGACATAACCCGCGAAAGAAAAGCGCAAAATTGCTTGTAAGTAATTGGTACTAAACCCGACCCGGAGGAAACTGAAAAAAGGGGGGCAGACACGGGGCCCGGGTTGAGCGCGAAATGGCGTCGCAAAGCCGAAATCGGACAAAGGCGAGAGCCAGGAATCACGGGAATTGGCAAAATAAGAGAGCGTTGCTGACACTGAATGGTCTTCGTGGCTGAAACATGGATATTTGCGCCCGAAGACGTGAAAACCAAATCTGCCCGCGTGATAACCTTGGGGGAGATTTTCCTCGGATTATCGAGTACTAGATTGGAGTTACGCAAAAAGGTGAAGAAAGCAACTAAAAACAGAGCCCACATAGCCGCATGTAGCGGTAAAGAAAAATTGAAAAGATCAAACGCGGCATGCAAAATTGAAGGTGTCATGGCCGATTTACGAGAAACGGCCGCACCCAGAAAACGCTTGGCGCCTCGTAATAAAAGCTGAAAGCGGTAATCGGAACTCCAAGTGAGTTCAGACCCGGCAAGTTGATGAGCGTGTTTAAGACTACTAATATGGTTAAGCACGGTACCGTAAGCCCGTTTCTGCGCGACTAAATATGCTACATACAAGCTAATCGATTTAACACTAATAGGAAAGGACTGAAGAGCCCTCAGGTCACAAAAAGTCCGATAACTACGAATATGAGCAGCTATATTCTTCTGTGTCGATGTTGCGTGTGCACAGGAGATGAGACGTGAGACGAAAGACTGCAATGTGACGATAGAAACATCTGACCGGGAATGCTGACCTGATCCCGGAGGGAGGTCTACAAGAGAAAAACAAAACTAAATAAAAAGAGTGTCACGCAACATCGAAAGAAAAACAAGCAGAGTCAACATCTTGAAAATAGAAAACTTGATTAAAGTCACTACAAAAGCGATAAAAGCTGTCGCGAGCTGAAGGATCGGAGTGCCAGCGACTAAGACAATCAGCAAACTGATTGTGTTTGCCAGGAACATGGAGCGCGCGGACTTCAAAGTCAAAGAGAGCAGAGGTGAACCATAACTGGCGTAGGCAGCGCTGCATAAAAGGATCTTTTGATGCATTGGATGAGATGACCGTAACAGCCGCGGAGTTATCACATGCCACGATGAATTTTCGACCTTGTAACTGAGCAGCCCAGTGTTTTAGAGCGACAACGATAGTGAACAGTTCCAGAGCATTAATGTGAAGAGATTGGAGAGAAATGCAATCAGGAAAAACAAAACTGATACACTGTGTTTGGCAAGTGGCACCACCCCCTTGAAGACAAGCATCGGTGGAGAAATTCAGGCCCTCGAAATCCCACAGTGAAGGTTTGATAAGTGAAATGCGGTGATAGCGTGGAAGGAATTCAAACCACCATTGGATGTCCAAAAGCATAGTGGCGGAAATGGGGTACCGATGACTAGCAGCGTGATGTTTGCATTCGCGAAGACATTGTAGAAGTCTGGCCATGAAGATTCTCCCAGGCTTGACACATGCCGTAACAAAAGAGAGCTTTCCCAGGAGCGATTGAAGTTGTCTCTTAGTAAAAGATGAAGATTGTTTCCAGATGATAAGCTCAGCTCGTAAATCCTCCAGACGTGAGGCTGGTACCTCTAGAGTGAAGGCTTCAGTATCAACGGAAATGCCAAGACAAATCATTGAAGTGGAAGGTGGCGTGTCCTTTTCCGGAGAAGAATCCAAGCCAAGTTGCTGGAATAATTGTCCAAGCTGTGAAAAAGCCTGAGGAGCAAGAGACGGATATTCGGCTCCGTAAAAGTCATCCAAATAGACATCCGCCGAAAATCCCTGCCCATTAAAGATGTGAACGACGGCTTTGGTTGTGCGCTGACAAATCAGTGCCGACGATCGTAAGCCAAAGGGACAACGAGTATCAAAGTAGAACTGTCCTTGGTAACAAAACCCGAGCAGACTATAGTCCTTAGGATCAACAGGAAACTGTCTATAAGCGCGACGTAAGTCTTTCTTAAACACGAGACAGTTACGGCCTTTAGCAAGAATAAAGTCAACAAGCCGATCTATTCCAGGTAAACGCAACTTAAACTGTTCGCCTAAATATGTATCGGGCGGAATACCGTCATTCACTGAAGATCCTCGGGGAAAACTAAGATCCATAACCACTCTGCGAGTCGAAGAGCCGCGTTTAGGGACCGTTTGAAGCGGAGAACACACAAAGGCGTCTGCGAAGGGAGGATTAGGGAAAGGACCAGCGATGGCATTGTAAGACAGCTCGGTATCCAGATAGGTTTGCACGTGAGAGTGAAAGTTTGAAGCGGACGGATGATTATGAGATGATGAGACAGGACGTGTAGCGGCAGTGTAGTTGATGGGCCAACCGTATGAAAGAAAATCAACCACAATGTTATCATGATAATCAGCAAGCGAGGTTCTCCACGTTGCCAGCAAAAGCGAAGATGGAACTAAAACCTTAGCGCCGAAAGCATTTGGTTGAGGATAACGCGAGGCACGTAAATAACGTACCACAGCTGCGGTGTTGAAAGATTCGTGTCCGTGTCCGTGCCGGGTCGAAGAGGTTAATGTGTTGGGAACTTGTAAAGCTGATTGTCACTGTGCCGGAATTGGTGTGCGGCGTTTCGGACAGTGTAACATCGGATGATCCGCTTTGCAGACCCGACAACGATGGTGTTCGCTATAGGCTGCACTGTCCTGTTTGTCGCAATCACAAGTACCAGTATAATTCCACGCTCTACATGCCTTTAGACCGGGTTTGCCTGCCTGCTGATTTGAAGGTGTGCTATTGCCAGAATGCCAAGAATTCGGTTGCGAAACTTGCGCGATCTCGTGTTGCGAGGAGGAAGAGCGAAGATCCGAATGGCGAAAAAAGGTCGTGGCCTGATCATTGATAGCCTTGGAATCTTGCCATTCCAAACGGCGCTGCTCCACTTGTTTCGCAACGAACTTATGAAAAGCCCGCACGCTGGACCAGGAGTAACTGATGGATTTAATCATGAGTAATTCGAGGTGGACCAGGAACGCCTCCTTCAGCTGCGACTCATACGTTTTTATCATGACTAAAAAGCCGGCTACAAACTCTGCAAGATTTAACTTTTCATACTCGCCTTGAACACTGGGCACGAAGTCGTGAGGCCAGTCGATGGGTCTTTTAGTGCGTCGTTGGGAGGTTGGCTCTGTAACATCGTCGGCGAAACCGCCGCGCGTGTTTTCTTGGGGGCGTTCCCGAGAGCTCAGAGTAAGAACTTGCAACTCCAATTCGAGCTTGTCTTTCTGGAGCTGGACAAGTTGAATTTGTTGCTCAAAAGTGAGCGTGTTTCCTGAATCCACTGAAGAGGTTGCCGGCGGCGAAGGGTCAGGAACCGTGGGTGATTTGGATTTGAAGGACTTCTGCTTTCGCTGCTTTGTTTTCGGTATGTTGTCGGCATCGTCCTCTACTTCTAGAGCCTCTGAAAACAACGAGTGTGAGGGAAGATCGTAGAGGAAATCCGGATCGTACGCTGGTTTGGGAGCGCGCTTTGGACGTGCGCCGGCTGAGAGTGACATTACGAAAAGAGCTTGGAGCGACGAACGTGAAGACAAGAGGTTACGCGTCGCCTCCGGATCTAACAAAAGATGACCGGTTAAGAATGTGCGCTCGTTTATATAAGACATTTGACACCTCCGTAACTAGTTAATTAACGATCATTAATAAATGATTACTCAAGTTTCTGCATGGGAAGCCGGTCCGCTTTGTCCCAACAACAATGATTCTCACTGTGATTTTGCTGTGGGTCATTAATCATCAAAGCAAGGAGGTCTTTTATATTACGGGTAATTAGCAAATGTTGGGATTATGCATTTGCTGCAACAGACACATCATTGATCAGCTGGCTTAGTTCACAGGTAAACAATGAAAGACCTACACAGACCGGCCCCTACTATCTGTCTTAGAGAGGCAGGGCTGTCAACCCCCCACGTCTTCAAATATTGAGAATGGATGGGAAAGGGATGATAGATGACGTCATAACGCACGGCACATTACATCATTTGTGAAAAAACAAGTGCAAAAAAGATGTTGTTGGAACTGTAACATTTGACTTAACTGGTTTTCTTCCCATCAATCATATTATTGCTTATATTACAATGGCCTACCGGAGATTGTTAGGAAAAGTTCGATTTTACCAGTAAAATAGGTGGTTTTCAAGTTACGTCATCGCCGCAAAGCTGGTGGACGGTAAACAAAAGATCGCTCATTAGCTCGCTTTATTTGTCCACCAGCATTTGTTCATTTCACCATTGTTATTTGTGTCTCGCGAGATTGCATGAAAACCACCTATAGCTCAAACAACACAAAATATTTGAAATTTCATTGACAGAAAGTCGAATCTACAAGAAATGGCAAACTTCGGCAATTATCCCGGGAGATTTCAGACTCTAATCTGGAGACCGGGAGAAACGGTTCAAAATCTGGAGTCTCCCGGATTATCCAGGAAAGTTGATAGCCCTGAAGAGGTGTCAGTTTGCTTAAAGAGGGGGACATGTGGGTTTACAGTATTGCACTATTGAGCTTTTTTCAAGCTGTATTGTGGTAATTTTGATTTTAATGTACGGTGTTGGGGTATAATCCAGCCCTGCGGTATGCAGTTTTTCATCCTTCTAGCCAAGACGATCCTTCACAGTATTGCGGTACCGTTCATTTGGCCTCTCCTGTCTCATGTAGGTCAATATTTGGAAGACTTCAGACATAACGGTAAATGATTACACAATATTGTGACAGTTACTCTTTCATGAAATTGGTAGGACATCCAATGACGAGGCTTTTTGATCGCTATACCAATCAGTTCAAGGTCTTCTCACATTTTCTGGCAATAGCTGAGGTTGATTTCTGGTGTATATATGCTTGAGATAAACAAACATACAATATGGATACAACTTCAAGTAAGCGTGACCAGTCATAAATACGGTATCTGTTTTTCGTCGATTTTCGACACGGTATTGCGGTATTTTATACCTGCCAACTCTCACGCCTTAGGCGTGAGTCTCAATCCTGCGGGTTGAAAACTTCGATCTCACGCCGGCTCACGCTTGCGAGCCAATTTCTCACGCCTGATTGACAAATGTGGGTTGTTGCCGTCTTGCAATTTCCAAAAATATGTTAACTCAGACCCAGGTAAGGAGCGAAAACCAAGTGTAAAATGAATAAATCACAATACCTTCCTTCGCGATCTCTGATTTTGTGGATAGGCGTTTCCTCGATAACTTCGCCTTCGGCAGACTTCGGACGTCTTCGGAAGACTTCAGACTTCTTCGGAAGACTTCGGATTTCTTTCTTCACGCTTATATCTCAGAAAAAGTTGGCAGGTATAGTATTTGCCAATTTTTCTTACAGTATTGTGGTATTGGTTACCCCACAATGTCCCCCTCCTTAAAGAGAGTCAAGGTAACATGACACCAGTAAAAACTTCAGCTGAACCCATTCGCATTGAATAACTGTCTGTTTAACTTACAATGTATGCAAAACAACTAAAACTGGAACATTGAAACAGAAGAGGGGAATCATTTTCTTATTAAGCAATTAAATGTTCATCATGGGCAAACGTTTATGGTTTTCTTGTCTAAAAACATAACAGTATACACTCTGCAAACTGGAAAAATACTACAAAATTTTTAAATTTTTTAAAGCTGGAGAAAGACTAACAAAATTTAAAAATTTTTGCAGTGTACTGTCATATAGAGCACCTACGTTTCTGTTTGAGGTAATTTTTTACTGCATAAAGCACTTCTCAAAAGTGTCCGTTTACAATTACAAAAGTGTCCGTTGTCCATCTTAGAGAGGTGTCACCTTATAGAGAATATACAGTCGAACCTCCATGTGCAAACACCTCTCATAAGTGACCACTTCCCATGAGCAACTACCAATCCAAAACACTAAAATTTTCCCAGTGAAAGCCTTACGGTTGGAACCTCTAGTAAATGACCAGCTTCTGTAAATGACTGCGACCACTGTTTGGGACTGATGGTTAATGATTTCCCATTGTTTTTAACCTCTTGTAAGTGACCATCACTTGATGGGTTCTCTGACCTCTATGTTCATTTTGTGCACTACAGTAGTTCGAATATACAAAGAACTTTAGTGACAACATGGAACTGCACATGTCATAACTTAGACATTACATGCAACACATTATCTTCGATAAAGCAGATGTGTCTGGACCTCATCTCGGAAAAAGTCCCCTGTGGTTCGATTCTTGAAAAATGACCACCTTGCAAGAGCGACCACTCAGTCATTGCATTTTGGGTGGTTGCTTACTGTAAAAGTGGCAGGGACCAGCACCAGGGGTCTGTCTTGGTGTTTGTCTAATGGAGATGTCTGTTAAGAGAGATTTGAACCAATCAATTTGAAACTTCAACATCCCCCGCACCCAAACCCTGGGTATTTGACCATTACTAATGCCAGGGGATCGACCGAAGTGGGGAATTTGACCATGCCTGGGTGAGGCGGAAAATGTATAAAATTGGAGGTGTTATGTTTAACTTCTTTGGACAATCTGGGTCTGACAACGTGGTTCAATAGTTGCAATATTCCTCATAGTGAGATGGAAGAGTTTTTTAGGAAGGGAAAGAGCTGTTTAAATAAATGGCTTGTTCAACTAGGACTTGAAAAGCTACAATTTATAAGTGTGGTTTTGAAGATATAATGTATGGTAATGAGATCAACTCACTATTTAACTGTGTTGTAGTTCAATATTTATTGCTGTTCAATGTCATATACATGTTAAGTCCGGAAAATTCACTTAGTCTCTTTTTTTGAATTCACAAATATTATCGACATTATTTTCTACACTGTATAAACAGTTCTTCCTTGGGAGAGCATTTGACCACTACATGCACATTTGGCAGACCTTGCATAATTTGGGCACCCCTCGTTCGAGTATCGGTTGACACTATCCACCAGTTATTGGCCATTACCCCGTCAACATGTTGGCAGGCATCTTGGTCAGCACTCAGTCAACATGCCGGTTGACTATCAGATGACATGTCAGCCAACCACTCGGCAGACACTCAATTGCAAGTAATAATTATATACATGTATGGATACCAAATACATGTTTATACAGCAAGTGTCAAGGGTTGGCAGAATATCCCTGCGCTATGTGTGGTGCTTGTGTATAAAGTAATAATTGAGTTAATCAGAACTGATATGTAAGAACAGACAGTAGCTTAACGAAACGTTTAACAAAGTAGCCCAATTAAAAAAATTAAATTAGCTGCAAATTGGCACACCTATTCTCTCAAACTCTGTGCCTCCTCTATCAAGTAAGGATACAAGTTTGAAGAAAAGAATTGAGCGGATACTTGCAATTTATGCTCTCACATTCATTAGACTGGTCAAAGCTCCAAAAATCCCTTAAAAATAGGTGCCTAGACAATGGACCAAAAGAATTTGAAATGACATGCAGGAAATATGACTCCAGAGAAAATATGACCAAGTATCAGTAAAGTATTGACCTATCGATTGATGCATTGGCCAATTATTGGTCAACATTCTGACACACTATTGGCTGATATGTTGGTCCTCATGCAGGCCGAGTCTCTGTCGGCTATGAGTCGACATACAGCGTACACTCGGCCGATTGATGTCAACTACCATATATTGACTGATCCTACAAAGAACTGAAATTTTGATTTTAGTGATCTGAAATGTAAGGTTAAGGATTACTGAGATGCATACTGCAGACTCACACCTAAAATGCAAAAATGTGTGTTATGTTTGTTTTCCTTTTCAGGTAGTAAACGCATCTCCTTTGAGGAATTTTTGCCAATTTTCCTTTCAATTGGAGGAAAAACATCAACTAACACTTCCATTGAAGGTTTTGTAGATGGTTTGCGTGTCTTCGACAGAGATGGAAATGGCCAGATCTCAGCTGCAGAACTGCGACATGTTCTCACAGGACTTGGTAGGGTAATCATTGATACTCTCTGGAGAGTACGCATCATAGGATGAGTACTCTGACTCACAGAATGATGCATACCCTCTGCTCATAGAATGGCGGGCACCAACAATAGAAAGTAAATGGTGAAAAAAAGCCAAGAACAAATGAAAATGCTAGAATTATTGGTTTTGATACCGGTTGGTACATGTTCATAATGTAGTTAAGTTTTTCTGGAAACTTTCTACACCAGAGATTCGCACAGTTGTTCTCTTTTTTTCACAATTTCGCTCCATCACAAAATATACATTAACCCTTTGATGACTGCTTTGGTCATTTTCAATTCATTTGGAAGGTGCAGATTTTCCTTCCTGGACCCATTTAGCTGTCTTTAATAAGTTGCTAAGCAGCAATCTCAGCAAAGATCTTACCATCGATACATCCAAAGAAACACTAAATATGGGGAAAAATCCACTGCTAATTTCGCTCTTTACTCACTTCTCTTTGAGGATTAAATTTGTCCCTTTGCTAAAAAGCTAGCCAGCCACAATTCCAGGCAAAAGTAAGTCATGATAAAGCTGGCAACAAAACTGCTCATGAAGAAGAAAGGCAAAGGAAAAATTAAAAGAGAGTGAGGAGAAAGATTGAAATAGATTCGAAAAAAATAAACATGAAGCTCAAAATTTGGCTTTTGCGCATGTGAGAAAGACAAAAAAGCTGTTTACATGTAATGACATTTGGTTAGCTTGTAAATATACCCTTTTTATAATACATGCTAAATTGACTGTCTTTGCAACCTAATAACAGCTAGCTGTATGTCACAACACAATTGTGCAGAGCAACACTGTTTGAAACTAGTCAAGTCATTTTTAAGGCCAGTGTCTCCCCACAACTGCCCAACTCTGTTTACAGGTCAAGCACAAGGCTAGCTTTTGTTGCTGATGGTAAATTACAACTTCCAAAGTTCAGGCATGCAGATTTGTTTGCCGCAGTTTTGTTCCTAGGCAACTGTGGACACAAACCTGCCAATTCTATATGGGCCATTGTAGATTGTACTTTGCTAGGCAACCCTAGTTCCGCCTCTGGCACAAACCCTTTCATGTACTCATTAAACCGTTTTCTTGCTTGGTTCAATAAAAAATTTTTTATCATCGAACAAGATAAAATACACAAAGCATTGTTAATCAAGCAAGAAACTGAATAAATTGAATTACATCTTTATGCTTTCCTAATATTTTGGACTAATTCTCATTGGGGGTGTCTCTTGGACAGGACTCAGGCGTTTATTAGGCGGGGGTGTCTAATAAAATTTTAACTGTGTATAGAGGGTTTTTTTTATTAGATAAGAGGTATTTATTTGGAAGTGGGCGTTTATTAGGTCATTTATCGTTTATGTTATATTTTTTAGGAGAGAAAATGACTGAAGAAGAAGTAAATTTACTTGTCAGTGGAATAGAGGACCAACAAGGACAAATTAACTATGAAGGTATAATTATGTAAAGATCCTGTAAACAGTGTTTGTTATTGTTCAGGTTGATATTAGCGGAGCTCCACGCACGCAGGCAAGTGGAGCCCCATGGCTAAGAAAATGTGGTTCTCTATCCATCCGAGAAATTTTGGTAGTCATATGACTGTACATCCGTCCATTCACCTGTCTGTCCACACCACAGGACAACCAATGTGAAACACATTGGACATCCATGTTGTGGTCAATTGACAGTTATCAAAACGGGGTATCCACTGACCAGTATCACATGACTGTATTGTTGGCCTAGGTATTGACTCATTGAGCTGAGAGTGGATGTTTTTTTGAAGTTATGCGCTAACAAGTCACTAGTTTTCATCTGATCGCAGGCTCAAATCGAAATAGATTTCTTTGCAATAGTTATGAGTTAATTGTTTGAAATAAATTATAAATTTATTAACAGGAACTCTGCATTTAGCCCTGGCTAAATCTATGTAAAAAAAATCTATGTATTAGTCTTATTACTATGTTCTAGGAAATATCTTTATATCTCTTAATATATGGGGAATTTTTTTGGGTGTTAGCACNATTTATGGGGTATTTTTTTGGGTGTTAACACCCTTGCTCCCCCCCCCCCCAACCTGCTTCTGTTTTGAAAACAAAATAGTATCCGGCCCACCCCAAAAACAAAATGAAGTCCTTTTCCTTTTTTATTTCCCTTCTCCCCCCTTCTTTCCCCTTTTTTGCCCCCCCCCCCCCCCCCCCTCCATTTTCCTTTTGCTGGGCCATTAGGCTTCCTTCCGGTTGGAAAGGTGTTTATGGAAAGCTTTAATGATCATGGAATGAAATGTAGGTTCTGCTGCCCTATTTCACTACACTGTATTTTTTTCTTTGCTGAAGGAAAGGGCTATAGCCTATTGTTAACCCTAGAGTGATCAACACTAATTCTCTCCCACCAATAACTATCAGTTGAAAACCAAGAGAAAAGGCTGAAGAAAGAATAAAATGATCACTTAAAGGGAAATGCTTTGACCTTTTATCTTAGTAATTCTCTCAACTAATTCTTTTAGGAATGTGTGGAGGTCAGTCTAGAGAATTTGTATCTTGACAGTGGGGTTTCATTTTTATTTGATGTAACGGCAATCATTAGGCCAAAACTAATCAGCACGCTGGATGGTTGAGTATATCCCTAGCGTGGGGGGAGGGGATACTCAAATAAGTTTTATAGGACTAAAGACACTCAAAGTTTGTTTTCCCTACAGGGAAGCTCCGCTCCGAGGTTTAATCCCTTATCTTTTTATATACTGTACCATTTATGACAGAAGAGGTACCCCTTTCGTATACCTTCTAAGTGACAAATGGAACTCTTTTGACAAACCTAGTTTACAACTTTTGCGTCCTTTTTTAACCGCTGCAAATGCCCTGTCTTTGAAATATGAATAGATCACAAAACCAGAACGTATTCTCGACTTTTTCACAGCCTTTAAATGCATCTGTGAGCCCTTTTGGGCCTTTTCATTGTCAGAAATGACAGATTTCCCTGTCCTTTCAAATACTTCAACAAGTGAAATCCCTACCCTTTCATATTTTTGAAGCCTGAAAAAGGAAAACCTTCGAGCGGAGCCTCCCCGTATAGTTTGGTATGACTAGGCACTGGTACTCACAACAATGATATTAAAGTATTTCTTTTGTCCTGTACAGAATTTGTCAAGATGGTTATGAATGGATAAAATAACAGCTTTTAAAGACGATAATAATACTCATTTATAGTGATTTAGAAATATGAAGAAACAGAAACTGTTACTAAGAAACTAAGAGCTGATATCATTGAGAAGTCTGAATGTGAAAATGTTGGGATACCGGTAAATGTACATTAAATTATAAGGATATACAAGGTGCAATGTTACTTGACATTTATTGACATATTTTCTATAAAGCTGATGTACTGCAGAATAGACTTTTGTATGCTACTTTTGTAGGCAAATAAAGAAGCCTGTTGATTTTGATCCCTTGGGCCACAATTATTTGTGTAATCGTGAACATCATTTTCCTCTCAAGATTGTAACGTTTCCAGATTGTATTCACACGCATGAAAGTTGAAAATGCCGGGTTGAAATTTTTTGGAGGAGGAGAAGTAATGAAAAAATTCCTTTTTGAGCGGGGGATGGACTTGTGAGAAAAATGGCGAGCCTGGGGAGTAACAAATTTCATTGACACTACTCCGAATAGCGCTCTTCCACCCCCTCCCTCTTAAAAAATGAAAGGTTACTTGAATGCTCTTCAATGCCCCCGTTAATATTTATAAAAGTTCCTTTTTATCAACACACGAATGAAAGAAGGTTTATAGTTAAAAGCAAAAGTATTTCATGATTCTCGAGGGAACTACGGAAGGACCATCCTAGTCCCTAGGCGTTCTCTCTTGATCCGTTGTCCGCGCGAAGTCTGGGAGAGAGCGGGCTAGTATCTCTCGGTGAATCTCTCGGTGATTCTCGGTGACGGCGTTGGTGACGGCACGGCACAGCTCACGGTAGAGTCCAGGAATGACCGAGACGAAAACGCCTGGGCCCCGGTTCCTGGAAAGCCGATTAAAACTATCCTCCGATTAGCGTCAAATCCACGATTAATTTTCTTATTCCTTGGATAACTAATCGTGGGTCAAAAAGGAGTTCCTGAAAGCGAAATAAACCCACGATTAAGTAATCCGAGATTAGTGTTAAAATAAACCGGTTTAACTAGTTTTTGGGATGATTACTTTTAAAAAATATGGCGCGAAAAATGTTTAGGCACGGGTGAAGTAAAGGAAAATGGCAGAAAATGAAGTGGTCTAGGTTGAACCAAAGGACAAGAAGAGGAAACCGAAATTCTTCATCTACCTAGAAATAATTGGCCCAGTTTTTATAACGTAGTCCTTATATTCAATCCCCAGTCCACAGTGCATGTTTTATAATGACCAAATTTATTACATGAAGTAGTAACCACCTTGGCAATTGCCTATGTTTTCTCCTCGTTCTCTCGAGGTCGTTCTTGAGGATTTCTACCAAATATTGAATTGACTCTCGGCCAAACCTGTTTTACTGCAAAGCCCTTCATCAGTGAATTGGTCGAGATTAATTTCTTGCTGTCGGAACTTTTTTTCACGTATTTGAGACAACGGTAAGTCCGCCATTTTGTTTGTTTTACAAACGTTTTCACCCGATTAGTGACTTAATCGACCTCACTAGGTGGGTTAAAATTAACACTTAGTTTATTCCTAGATTAAGGTTAATCATGCTTTCAGGAACAGGATCTAATTGTGGGACAAAATGTATTCCGCGATTAGCGAGATTTAATCCTCGATTCGCGCTAATCGGCTTTCTAGGAACCCGCGCCTGGAGACTAGACTGCGGAAGGACTACGGAAGTGTATGAACGTACTTGTCGTTTCAATTACCAATAGTAATATGCGCATTCAAAATGAATTTTGAGAAATCTTTAGTCTCGCTTGCTTTAGCAGCGAGACTCTCAAAATGCAGGCGTTTCTTTTTTTATCGTGTGTCCGTGCCAATAGAGACGTCTGCACGCAGGCAATTCCGGAACGGGTCGTTCCCTCGGGAGAACAGGCCTCTGAGGCGGGAAGAGAGTTTTCAAGTAGGGGCGAAAGAGCCCCGGGGTACCGACCCTCACCGGACCATTTCCAAAAATTCAAGCGGATGCCGGTTCCTGATTGGGCACAAAAAATGCTTTGTATTATTGTGCCCAATTGGCGAACACAGCTCCTGAGTTCTTTTCGTGTGTTCGTACACGATGGCTATTGTCTGAATCACGGCTTGTCTGGCTCATTCACTAAAGAAACGCACGCAGTCAGGAAACTTTCAGTTTGATATAAAATCCCCATCTAAAGATGCTTTTCCAAAAAAAACAAGCTTCAGCTTACAACAGGTATTCACGCTTGCTTCGGCCACGGCTTGCGTAAATATTTATAGAGAGTTTTTAAAAGATACCACGACGGCTGACAGCCACGAAAACGTCGCATGAAAAAATGAATTCATAAATTTTTCAGTCTCTGTCGTAATTATTCCAACTAGCTTACTTTGTCAAATGTAAGCGAACTCTCCTATCAACCATATCGTCCATATCCAAGTTCATGGCGAGAATGAATTGTCATTGCTTGTTTACGTCCTCCACAAAAAGTGAAATTAAGCATTTTCACGGGTATAGTAGTCGTGCAGTTGACGACAAAGAAATGTACAAAAAAGCGTGATGCACGTGCAAAGTTGTTTTGCCTTGTCAGGCTTAATTGCTTATTTGATTTTCTCGTCGCCGCCCCAACTTAAACTTCCTATTATTTACGATACATTGTGGTCCGTCAGAAACAGAATATTCTAGGGGCAAATTCAATTACTCCCGCGGATAGCATCCCAAACGTTTTTTCGACTCATTGGTAGTTCCTTTGTTTCTGGTTAGGAAAGTAGAAAATAAAAGTTTTCCTTGCACGCACAAGCTTGGTGAATGTGGCGAGACAATAGCCGTTGTGTACAATAACTCAGGAGAAACTGTTCGCCGATTGGGCACAATAGAGCGGTTTTCATTTGAGTGTCGAAAAGTAATTGGTTTTGCACTTTCTACACGATGCGATTGGCTTAAAAGATTCGCGCCACCTTTTCATCCAATCAGAAGTAAAACCAAAGCCAATTGTGACGCGCTCGCATGCATTTTCCCGCGCTTTGCGTCAGCCACATGTAATTACTTCGAGTTTTGATTGGTTCAATGTATTGTCTGTGTCCTATGTGATTGGCCAGAGTAATTACTTTGGTTTTGGTTTTACGACACTCAAACGAAAACCACTCTAATACAAAGCATTTCTTGTGCCCAATCAGGAGCCGGCATACGCTTGAATTTTTGAGAGTCGGTACCCAGGGGCTCGTCTGCCCTTACTTGAAAACTTTCGTCCCGCCTTTTCTCCAGACCCGACTGACTGCCCTTAGGTCTCCGAGGATTGGTCGGTCCACGAATTCTATCGCTTGAAAGCGTTGATTACTTTGGAACAAATGATTAATTCAGTGGTCCGAAAAACCACTTAATGAGCAAAACTTTGATAGTGAGGCTAACTGGTAGGATGTTGTAAGGTTTCATTGTATGCAAGTGAGTCTTGTGCTCAGCATGCGGTTTATTTTCGGAGACGAATGAAATGACGCGCCATGTTCATCACGTTTCCTTGATTTTCGTGCATTACACACGCGTTCTAATCAATTCATGAATACTCGACCGTCGATAAAGTAGGAAGTGAAAAACTTTTAGCGAGGAAATCCTGTTTCGTGTAGAATTAATCGTCTTCTAGACTGCGAGCAGTCTCTTATTTCTCTTTTGCGTCGCAGTAGATCGAGAGCATAAGTTTACTTTTTCGCTCGCCCCGTGTGGCTCTGAGGAAAGAAGGATGACCGCTTGCGGTCATATTCCCCTCCTCATTTCTCAAGCGAGACTGAACGCTATTAAGAGCGCTCTTGCTTTTCTGCAAACGTGTGTGGAAAATGACATTTTTTGGTACTCCTATTAAAAAAAAAAATCGGACACAAAGAGTCTTACTCTTTACAATAGTTTAACTTCAGTTTCTTTTATTTCACTTTCAAATCAAACATTGACCTGCTTTTATCCTATAATTTGAAATTTCATCCTGAAGTATTAGCTAAGGGTTCCACTGCTGAAGTGCAGGAAAATCTAAAAACATAGTTCCTCATCTCCCTCTGCCTCCAACAGTAAATCAGGGGGTTAATGAATGAGTTTAACATGATAAATGTATTCACCCATGGACAGGGAATGCATGACTGACTACCGACCACGCCCGTGTTGGTGTCAATTTTAAATAACATGAACACGGCGACTGTTAAAGCTATTGGTAGAAAACATACAATAACAGCACCTACAACTAACACAGTTGTCTTAAACGCTTTGTTTTCTATTGCGAATCTTTGCTCTTCTCCCTGCGGCAGCTGTTGATTTTTAATTTTCTTTCGGTGGCGACGTATTTCACGGTACATGGTGTAAGCAGACGCAATGAAAATAAAACACGAAATGACAATTAGAACTGCTAAAAGTTCAAAAGATAAAGTAACTGCCTCCGTTTCTACATCGATAAGTCCTAATATAACATAAAAAATTGAAATGATCCAAAATACGATAACCGCCACCTTAATATTTTGCACCGCGACAAGATAAGGGTGTTGGTAGGTAAATCTGATGGCTATCAACCTTTCGCAAGTCACTAACATCAGATGAAGCGCCGAACAAATGGATAAACCACGAAGTAAAGAGCTGTGAAAAATTCCAATATGGTCTTTTTCTGACAAACCAGCAAACTGAAGCACTTTCCATAGAATGAAGGAGGGTTGTGCAATGAAACCAGTGGATACGTCAGTAACCGCTAAACAGGACAGCAACACGTTTGCTTTGGTCTGAAGTCTTGGTGTCTTCTTCACAGCAACGATCACAAGCACGTTGAGCGCAAATGTGAAGGGGCAGATTATACTGTTGATAACTAAAGTTTTGAGTGAACCTGTGTCATGGCTTTCCATGTTTGACGCCGTCAAGATTCTGTGCCGCCGTATAGCGTCAACTCACAGTGAATTAGACAGACTGATTAGAGAGGTTTCCGATCCCAAACCGAAACTACGTTTAAAAGGCTAAATTTCTGAAGAACCTATATTTATTTCTCTAATGAAAGTACCTTCAATCCTTGCCGCATGTTTCCGCCCATTTTTTTCCCTTGGAACAATTGTAACTGTATGGCGGTAAACCGGTTGAAGTAAATTGGTTAATGCGTTGTCAATTAAGTTTTCATTTCTTTGTTTGCGACTACAGCGGCAGATATTGATGACGTCCCAAAGTCACTTACATATGTCTCTTGAAACCTTAAATATTTGTTTTGGTCAAGCAACTTGATTAATGTTAATTGTATAGAATGTTAACTGTTAATGTTAATGTTTGATAGTTGTATAGAAAATTTGCTAGTGATAAATTCGAGACTTCAAGCCTCAAAATTAAACCATGAGTCGTAAAACAAGCCGTCAGAACAATTTGAGAACAATGATCGCTTTCTGTGCAGTTTGAATACGCCTACCTTCAAAGAAATTTTTAATGGCTTGAACCAATTTACGGTGATCAATTAGTTTGGCCCAAAAGCAATCAATTAGTAAATATATCGCTAACTGATAACTTATCTTATTAAACGAAAAGCAAAGATAAAAATGAAAAACATTATTTACTTCTTTAGGTCTTACTTCTCTGAAGAGAAATTTAGCCCTAACTAGTTCGGAAAGATGAATCCGTTAAGAAACAGCAATCAAAGTGTTGGCCGAGATAAAAAGTGTTCCATCTTCTGCGGCATATTTTGAATTGAATAATTGAATTTACCAATTGAGAGTTCTGATTTTAGTGGCTATAAGTGATCAACATACCGTCAGTATTCAAAAGGAGCCGAAAATTTTAAATTTAAAAAAAAATTGCAGGAATATGTTACACAACAAAATCCGCACAGTATATCTGCGGGATATGAATTTGAGACTTTTCGATTCGCCTTGCCGGTCGGGTATTTATTTTCCCAGGAAAATGAACGTAGAGGCTGATCTCAGCTTAGTGCGGGAAGAGTGTTAAGCAAAGTCTAGAAATCCATGTAAATTAAGTTTATTCAGGTTTCACTCCAGTCCATGCTTTTTGTATTTTGATACGTTTTCCAAGGATGATACGTCGCTTGTCATCTGAAAGCTTCAATGTGCTTCAAACTCTAGTGGTAAACTAAGCTTTTTTTATTATTTTCTTTTTCATATTTACAGATGTAAATATTTTTGCCCCATTGTAATTTTATTATTGTATCTTTGTTATTACTGTATATTACGACAGAATAGCCCAGATAGAGGAGTCGTTATAAAGTATATGCTATGTTATGTTATGTCATATCAACGGCCTTTGGTACCGATTGAATAATAAGACTTCGTGCAGTCGTGACTGTCTACATTTCAGGTTGAGTGTTGTGTCACGCATTACTGTTTCAATGTATCTTTGCCTGCGAATACAGCCTTCTCTCCTCGCTCCTCACCATACTCACCTTACTGGCCCTATCCAAGCTCTTCGCCTTGGCAACAACATCATAAAGTGGACAACCTCAGAAAGACCCCTCGGGGTACAAGTTGATAACAAGTTGTCCTGGTCAGATCATGCTGCTCATGTGGAAATTTTATTTAAGTTTAAATAAAGTCTTCTACTCCGACGCATGCGATTTCTCCCTCAAAACTAATTAGAAGATTTCTACATAAAAGTGATACTGCCATCAGTTACATACGGTCTGACAGTGTGGGGATCGTGCAACAAGACGCAACTAAACAACGTAGGGAAACTCCACGCAAGGGCTGGACGAATTGTATATGGGTTGCCATGGGACACCAGCGCTGAAGATGTCTTAATGCGAACTGGATGGGACAGTCTGGAAACAATGTACAAACTGCGGCTAACGGAGTTTGTCTTTAAGTGTTTAAAAGGTTACACCGTCACGGAATTTAAAGATTTGTTTTTACAGAGAAATTCAGGCCGCAGAAGAAATGAGAACATCATTCTTCCAAGACCAAAAAAACAAATTTTACCAGGAACTCCATACGCTTTAGAGGAGCAATCGCAGGGAACGCCTTAACGAACAAGGAAACAAGGGCAAAAACCTTGAAAGAATTTAAACGCTGTCTTGTAAAATTGATACCGATAAAATGCACTTCGAACCAATCTTAGCTACTGCTAAAAATAGAGATATCGGTTACGAATACTTTTAACAGTTTCAATTTTTAATTGTACATTTTCATGACCTATTTTAAACATTTTTAACAGTTTTTAATTTTTTAATCGTACATTTGCTTTCAGTACTTCTTATTTTTCTTGTAGTTGTTAGTATGCACGACCCAACCAGCAATGCTGCTCTTTTTATCGTGCTAAAATAAAGTTCTTATCTTATCTTATCTCATCTTATCTTACCATTCGCAGGCTAATTGTATCTAAGCAACTGTGAATAAAATCGTTGAATTAAACATGAGTTTTGTTTACTGTGTTGTTCAATTCAGTTTCTACGCTCGCGATCCGCAGTAATTCCTATTGTTGACACAGAAACCTAAAGGGGCTTTCCCGATCTGATTCACGTACACAATTATGAAAGCGGTTCTCATCAATCACATCTCTAAGGTAAACCCACATGTACGCCTGCACTTCCTAACCATCGGTTACTGCTAGTATATCCTTTTTACTAATTTTGACTGATCTTGGTCTTTTTTTATTTAACGTTGGGCAAGATTGATCGTACACGGTTTTTTGCCTTGGTCTTGTACCTTAATTTTTCAATACAGTATCTGTTTTATTTAGAGGAAAAGTAGCCCGTCCAGTATCTCGTATTTCCATTGAACTTCCCTTTACGGTTATAATTTCAAATAAGAACACGTGAGATAAGCTATTCGACATACTTGATCCACAGCTATTGTTGCCCTGTTTTTGGCCTGTTGGATTTTTCTACTGAATAAGCTTTGTTGGTAGTTAAATTCTGAAATCAAATGGAACGGACGATTTCTGATGGATCAGACCAGAATATTTGGGACCAGCTTTGAGGTGTTTGACCAGTTCTACCGGTCGGACGGAAATGTTCCTTTGCAATTGACAAAGACTCACAAAATTGTTGTACTCTGTATTCAGTTGGGTTTATAACCGCAACTTAATTGATCAAGCTAAGCCGAGGTAAATAATCTGGCGAACCAACATTCCCACAATACCTTAGATGATATGGTGGTGAATCTGGCTTATAGCTACAGAATGGCAAAGGAATGAAAGAAAGCCAAAATGAAAGATCGACAGTATATTCGCAAAGAATTTTTGGTTAAGCGCACATACTAAAAAAAAGCGCAGCTCAATTCAAAGCTCAATTATATCCAGTTGAAAGAAAAATATGACCTATGTATTGGACACATCACTTTTAGCATTTCCATTCTAACTGGCTGAAAACCTCAGCTGAAAATCTTTCCAAAATGGAGTTGCATTCCCTGTAAATGATGATAACCTTTACTTTCGACAAGAACTTCATTCGATTGGCGCAGGTCCCAAAAGACCCAAAACAATTAAACAAAAATCAAATAGTTAGCAGTTTTAGTCTGGTTTTTTGCTTTGTTTTCTTTTCAGACCTGCGTAAGTAGATAAAGTTCTTCTCGAAAGTAAAGGTTATCGTGAGCATCTTTATAAATCTGACACTTATCCGGGATTACCCAGGATCAAGTGAAAATAGTGTAAATCATTGCAATCCCTTTCCTTTTAGTGATAACCATATGTTGAATCTTACTATAATCTCTCTTGAATTAATCAGCTATGTTATTCAAATAACAATAACTTTTCTTTGTTGTTTTATTTTTTTACAGCTATTCCCAGCCAGTAGATTCAATACTTGCATGAAGGGAGGGTTTTGAGCATGCCTAGCCTGCGAGCAAGATCCCCGGGGCTCCTCAGTTTCCCCCTTGCGCAATAGCACCCCGGAGAGCTTGCTCGTAGGAAAAACCTCTCTTCTTTCCGTCTCTCTGAGCTCTGTTGTCGCAGGCTAGCTAGAGCATGCTGCTTAGCTACTTACCAGTCTACTACGCAGGCAGCCTCTCTTTGTAACACAAAGCGCTGTTACGCATTAATTAACTACGTAATGACACAAAGAACTGCGGTGGTTAAGTAGAGGTGATTAGGTGGTAGATCATTGTGGTCATGTAAAAGAAGTCTCGATTACAAGCTTCTCACCTTAAAAACTATTATTATTATTATTATTATTACTATAGTTTTTATTTTGCGACAGCTGGTACTGTTTGTAAAAGATTTCCTTTTTCTTTCCTTTCTTTAAATTTGTGTCTCTTACCCCGCCTCGATTTGGCTCTCCTATACCCGGGTGGAAGCTATCGTGAAATTGTAAAATTGAAATTGAATGAATAAAGTTGAATTATTATTATTATTATTATTATTATTATTATTATTATTATTATTATTATTATTATTATTATTATTATTATTATTATTATTTGTAATGCTTGAGGAAGAACCTGTAAAACCCACTCTTATCCGCAAGCATTTGCCAGCTTTCGTGGGGAGGGTACTCCTCTATTTAGTAAAGCAAATTCTAGAATCAATTTTCTATCTTTCCTCAGACCCAGAAATATCTGTGGGGTGAGAAAGGATGAAGGCTTTTTTTGCTGTTCTAGACACATTCAAACCACGACAAACTTGTAACTTAACACGGTTTATAAAGAATTTCTTATCATGCTTAACTACATTAAAATGACCATACAAGTAGTTGTTGTTCAAGAAAAGCCAGGCTAGACTTTCATGAAAAATCCGTTTTGAGTTGTAGGAGCCGATTCGGCTGCTGTTATTGGTTAATCGTTCAGGAGATAAAGCTTTCGTCGCTTAAAAAAAGTCGACACCTTAGCGGGAGTCGAAGTGATTAGACAATAACATACCGTATGCTAAAACTTCTGGGGGGAGGATTAGGGAAATATGCAAGTATCAGTCAGATTCCTTTATTTATGATATCGTTCAAACCACCTACCCAACCCTAAGTAAATTTCATCCGGATGTCCCAAGGACCCCACCCTGTGATTCTAGGGCTTCCTTGTGTAATTGAGCATTTCATTCATCAGGCATCACACAACTCCAGCTGCACGTAGACAACACAAACACGCGCAGAATATTGTTCCACATCACCTCACCCATAGCAAAGATGTCTGAACCAACTCAAGACGAAATGGATGGTAACTATGTGATTTCATTAATTTTCTCTTCAAATTATCGAAGTGAATTTTTAGGAATTTAATTTTTACCTTATTCGTAGAATACCGAGATGCGTTCGCCCTCTTTGACGAGCAAGGAGACGGTAAAATAGACTGCAACCAGATCGGCAAGTTGCTACGCTCGTTAAATCTTAACCCCGAAGATGAAGATATTCGCAAGATTGAAAAAGATGTCGGTAAGTCATAAGTCCGTTTTACTTATCAACCTGACTTGGTATGCGCTTCAACAGTGCTCTTCAAGTACGTAGCACTTCTCAGGATTAATATTTTGGGGATCTTTATACTACATCAACATTCACTCTTTTTGTAGTAGCGCCAGCGATGATTAAAATATGTTAATAATTTCGTATAGCCGATCCATTTAATCTCTCTTCTCGTGTAAAGATAAATTTTGGCTAACTATCTACTGGAGATCAGAGAAATGGGAAATGGGTTTGAGCTACTGCGATTGTACAAGAGACACTCAGACAGAGGCGCAGCCAGGGTTATTCTATATGTTTATACTGCCTACTTTCCTTCCTGTGTCAAAGGATTTAAAGGTCTTTTTAAATGTTTCACTTACGTTATTTCGCAACAAACTTTCTTATATTGTCACGCAAAGATATCAGTCGGTAAAATACGTTTGTGATCATATATTGGACTGTGAGCGTAAACCGAAAAATCGTTGAGGCATTTTTGTAGCCAGCAAAAAGACACAACTATTCTTTGAAATGTGGTTTTAAAATAACAAATGAAGACAAAAAAGCCATCAAATGCACAATGGGTGTGTTGTTATTTTGGTAATATATACATCTGTGGACTTCTACAGAAGATCATTTTGATTTACTTTTCAGAGTAAGGTTAAAGTGATCATAACTTTGCCTAATTCCTTCACGCTGATGAGCACCAACGTTTGCTTAATTGAACATGTGCTAAAACAAAATCGCCGAAATAAAAAAAAATGGATTACTCGGTTATAATTGTGTAGCATGATGTAGAACACAAATAATTTCAGAGATTATGTTTCATGCACGACACTAAAAAATAAGGTTTTCTGGTATTAAGTTGTACTGTCCGAATTTAAATTATTAAGACACTGCCTCCGGGCATCGATAGTGCAAATTAGAAGGATGATCATTAAAACAGCCATTGTTTAAAACTGGCAGTAATTTGTTATGACCTGCTGTAAAATCTTATCTTTCACAATTGATTGCTTTTGGTAAGGTCTCGTTTGAAAACGTATCAGTGTTTCTCTTTTGTTGTAGACATTCAAGCCTCCAAGGAGAGAACACCTAAAATGAGTAAACAGCTTTGTGTAGTCTGGCTATTTTTAAGGAGGCTGCCAGTCGTACCCCTTCAGTAATCGCCTTAATTGATTTGCGGCGTAATCTTGAAATTATCTCGCATACAGGGCAAAATTTAAGCAGGCAGAATGATTTCGTACAAAGTAAGTCTTGTACTTTGCTTTAAACAACTGTTAAACTACCTTGTTCTTTTTCACTGATGGAATGTAACCTTTGCCTAGTCGTCGGGTTGGAACCGAAAGAAAATATATCTCTGTCATCAGGATCATTTTTGTTGAAGTAGTTTGTTATGTTTCCACGCATATTTGGCGTGTTCGCTTGCAGGGCTATCGCTCCTGGTTCTTAGTAACAGGAAGAAGGCTCAACGTGAAAAGCGAAACCTCCCGTTTAAAACATTGCGCCGAGACTACTTCTGAAATTCCAAGAAGCTCCTCGGTTCTAGGCAAAGTCATTGACGATTTTTATACCTTTAATAATTTAACGCGAACATAAGATTCCACGCAAGAAACGTTGACGAAGATGTATTTGTACATAGACTGCAAAACAGTCCGAGTGCGTATTCAAGTACGCGTGAGCAGTCAAACAAATAGGCCTGTAACGAGGCTGAAAACAGAGAGCGAGCCCTACGGGCGTGTGAGGCTCGCGCGCTTCGGGCGCGTTAGACTCTCGATTTCTTAACTGATTTTGGGAAAAAACCGACTGTTTTGCAATCTTATTTGCACGTGGAGAAAGTTGAAACTGGACTGTGATCATTTAGCATTGAAAGAAGTTTAAGTTCCTTTTCTTTTCAGGAAATCGGCGCGTTTCGTTTGAAGAGTTCCTGTCTATCTTTATGAAGGAGAAAAAGAACAGCAGAGAAGTGTCTGTACAGGAGTTTATAGACACTCTGAACGTGTTCGATAAGGACGGCGCCGGCAAAGTATCATCCGGGGAACTTCGTCACGTGCTAACGGCATTGGGTAAGTACGTGCCGTATTTATTCGATTAAACGCCGCAGCGTTTTTATTAAATTTCTAACGTTTCCAATGCGGCGTTTATTCAGGGGCGGCTTTTATTTCGAAATCACTGTTTTTAAAAATCNTCCTCGGTTCTAGGCAAAGTCATTGACGATTTTTATACCTTTAATAATTTAACGCGAACATAAGATTCCACGCAAGAAACGTTGACGAAGATGTATTTGTACATAGACTGCAAAACAGTCCGAGTGCGTATTCAAGTACGCGTGAGCAGTCAAACAAATAGGCCTGTAACGAGGCTGAAAACAGAGAGCGAGCCCTACGGGCGTGTGAGGCTCGCGCGCTTCGGGCGCGTTAGACTCTCGATTTCTTAACTGATTTTGGGAAAAAACCGACTGTTTTGCAATCTTATTTGCACGTGGAGAAAGTTGAAACTGGACTGTGATCATTTAGCATTGAAAGAAGTTTAAGTTCCTTTTCTTTTCAGGAAATCGGCGCGTTTCGTTTGAAGAGTTCCTGTCTATCTTTATGAAGGAGAAAAAGAACAGCAGAGAAGTGTCTGTACAGGAGTTTATAGACACTCTGAACGTGTTCGATAAGGACGGCGCCGGCAAAGTATCATCCGGGGAACTTCGTCACGTGCTAACGGCATTGGGTAAGTACGTGCCGTATTTATTCGATTAAACGCCGCAGCGTTTTTATTAAATTTCTAACGTTTCCAATGCGGCGTTTATTCAGGGGCGGCTTTTATTTCGAAATCACTGTTTTTAAAAATCACTGACAACAGTAATTGTAAATCGTTTGTAAATATTATGTAATTTAAAGGTTCCAATGACTCCCTTATTTTGCTAAGATAGAATCGTAAATGTCTGGATGGTGAAAAAGGACCAAGTTGTACCGAAGTTTTTCTTATTATCCTCGAGTAAACGCCGCACTGACTTCTTCTGATTAAGTGCAGCGTTTATTGGAGGGCGGCGTCTATTGGTAATTTTGCTTCCATCTGCGGCGTTTGGTCGAGGGTGGCGTTTATTCGAGGGCCGCGTTTAATCGAATAAATACGGTATGGCGCGAAAATATGGGCCTCGTATGGCGAATCAGTTGTGTTGAAATTTTTTTTGGTTTAAATGTATTTTTCTTTGTTTCAAACTTATTATTCAGACATTGCCTGAAGACAGAAGAGAAAGAAAAGCCGAACATAAACTTAGTCTTTGCCGTGTATAAAGAGCCTTCCTTCTTTCAGTTTAGCTAAAAAATGTTCGGGAATATTTCCCGGCGCTAGTTTACGATCAAGAACTGTATCTTTCTATTCCACTAAATGCGTTTATTCTCTCTCAGTTTGCGTTCAATGTTACACTCTCAATGTTTTTTCCATTCTAAACTAGAGCTCTAAATACATCAATGACTTATACTTTGACAAAAGAGAAATACAATAATGCTGCGGCTAATTCTTGGCTCGCTAAGGTCTATTGTAATGCGTAGCTCTCAATCTAGCCAAAATTGTTCATTGTTTCCCTTAAATCAGTACGTGATCTATATTATCTATGCAACCCGTAAGTAAATGTCACGCAGTGAAAAAAATAATCGACATTCAGTACTCGAGTATTGTTTGAAGAGGTTCAATTCATTTCTAATTTACGAGAAGGCAGTCATCAAGGGTCCCATATCCCAGGGGTATTAGAGTCCCATTCCGGCGCCACTTTTGACGCGAGAATGAAACTTGACGGAGTTAACTTTTGCGCAGACTTCTGGGACTGTTGCTAGGGTCCGGGCGAAAAATAAGCAAATAGTGCAATGAAATAGTGTCCCCAGTAACGATCCCAGAAACAATACATGTCAGGAGCTGATTAATCGGCTCCTGTACATGTAGAGTTCTCAAGTGGTGACGTCATAAAAATTAAATTTGTGAAATTATGGGAATTGTCAAGATATTTTGAACGAACAACGTCCAAGACGCCTACTTGCCAAAAATTAGCATTGTGGGGCAAATTGTCTCTGAGATATCAGCCCAGTTATCCTCTGATGACTCCATACTTGACTTGGGTCTAAACGTTCAGACCATCAAAGCGTAACTGGGCTAATATCTCAGAGACAGTTTGCCCCACAATGCTAATTTTTGGCAAGTAGGCGTCTTGGGCGTTGTTCTTTCAGGATATCTTGACAAATCCCATAATTTCACAAATTTAATTTTTGGTGACGTCACACTTTAGTACCCTATTGCAGCGTTCCATGTCCGTTCTCGTTTCTAAAGTGGCCAATTAGATTCTTGTGGACAAATGATTGAAATGACGAACAAAGACCAACCTCGTTCCCAACGCTCTTTATTGGAAGAAGCCCCGGGGATTTCCCCAGTAGCAATCCCAGATGCAGAAACAAGTGATGGACGCATTTCGGCTCCAGTTCCCTTCTCTTGTTTCTAAAATGGCGAATGCCCAATAACACAATACAAAAAATGCCTCGGACGTTCGACCGCTAAGGACCTGTGTATGACTGAAACTAAGACTTGGTCATCTCACAGGGAACCCAAGTAGTAAGTACAGTAGCGAACAGTACCAATTTAAGCACTAAAGCAAACGTACTAAGTCCACGGTATGGCCAGTACCTTACGCATGCACACAGCCATATCATCCCGGTAGTGGCAGCTATGGACGGATGCCGTTAGAGAACTGCCGTTTGCGGTTCCCAACCAACACCTAACACTTGTCTACGGTGGAGCTAGCCCTTAAAGGAGTATTTTGCACTCGCCTCGGCAGTAAAAGGCCTCTGAGAAAGGCGCACTTTGTCCTTACAGAGGTCCGATGGCTTTGCCATACATATGAGTTGCCATGTGTACTTCAGTGCTTAACCCCCGCCATTGTACTACATTCTTTTCTTCGTCTTGTAGGCAACAAGCTTAGAAATGGCGAAGTCGATGAGCTGTTCAGTGACGTCGGGGAGTACCACGGATTTATTCACACAGCAGGTATATGTCTAGTTTCAAACCGAGGAGGGCTGGGTACCAGTAACTTCTCCGAGGCGCTCTGGCGGCGGGGAGGAAAAGGAAGGAGAGCTTGCAACTACATCTCTAGAATTTGAATTCCACCCCCAATTCCCTTGTGGCTCCCCGTCGATTGAGCTGTCAGATTTCCACCAATCAGCGCGAAGTGGGAACGAGCGCGAACAAAAATTGAAAAACACGTGAAAGTACGCGCCAAGGCTAATGGCGTCATTACTAATCTCATCTCAGCCAATCAGCATTGCGTACTCCTGCAAACTGATAGCAAACCAGATAGCAGACCAGCAAACAGAAGTCCCAGTGACATCTTATAACGTTAACCGTTTTACTTTTCTTTTCATCCCCAGATTTCGTGAAAATGGTCATGTCCAACCCATAGCCAAGAAAGGAGACTCGTGTATAATAGCAGATATATAAGTTTTTAAAATACGGCATTTACTCAAAACAGCGCCCTTGACTCTAACACCTCGCCTTTTTAAATGATAGACCTAAAGAATTCTTCTAAATGCACATTAAAACTTGTCTTTTTAAGGAAAAGAGTACTTTTTTTTTTCAATTTTTTAATGAGACAGCAGAGAATTTAATAAGAATGGTGGCAATTTTTCGGGTTTGTATAGAAATCGGCCAATGTAGCTGATAAAACAAGGCTTTCGATTTCCCTACGATAACGTAAAAAAATGTATGGCATTGTATGGCCGGTATGGTGCACAACGATAGCCCTCGAACAAATTTTAGAGCGGTTTAAAATCGCCGAAATAAAAAAAAAATGGATTGCTTGGTTATGTAGCATGATGTAGAAGACAAATAAATTCAGAGATTATGTTTCATGAACGACACTAAAAAATAAGGTTTTCTGGTATTAAGTTGTACTGTCCGAATTTAAATTATTAAGACTCTGCCTCCGGGCATCGATAGTGCAAATTAGAAGGATGATCATTAAAACAGCCATTGTTTAAAACTGGCAGTAATTTGTTATAACCTGCTGTAAAATCTTATCTTTCACAATTGATTGCTTTTGGTAAGGTCTCGTTTGAAAACGTATCAGTGTTTCTCTTTTGTTGTAGACATTCAAGCCTCCAAGGAGAGAACACCTAAAAATGAGTAAACAGCTTTGTGTAGTCTGGCTATTTTTAAGGAGGCTGCCAGTCGTACCCCTTCAGTAATTTCATACTAATCGCCTTAATTTATTTGCGGCGTAATCTTGAAATTATCTCGCATACAGGGCAAAATTTAAGCAGGCAGAATGGTTTCGTACAAAGTAAGCCTTGTACTTTGCTTTAAACAACTGTTAAACTACCTTGTTCTTTTTTCACTGATGGAATGTAACCTTTGCCTACTCGTCACGTTGGAACCGAAAGAAAATATATCTCTGTCATCAGGATCTTTTTTGTTGATGTAGTTTGTTATGTTTCCACGCATATTTGGCGTGTTCGCTTGCAGGGCTATCGCTCCTGGTTTTTAGTAACAGGAAGAAGACTCAACGTGAAAAGCGAAACCTCCCGTTTAAAACATTGCGCCGAGACTACTCCTGAAATTCCAAGAAGCCCGTCGGTTCTAGGCAAAGTCATTGACGATTTTCATACCTTTAATAATTTAACGCGAATATAACATTCCACGCAAAAAACGTTGACGAAGATGTATTTGTACATAGACTGCAAAACAGTCCGTATTTTTGCGTATTCAAGTACGCGCGAGAAGTCAAACAAATAGGTCTGGAACGAGGCTGAAAACAGAGAGCGAGCCCTACGGGCGTGTGAGGCTCGCGCGCTTCGTGCGCGTAAGACTCTCGACTTGTTAACTGATTTTGGGAAAAAACCGACTGTTTTGCAATCTTATTTGCACATGGAGAAAGTTGAAAAACTGGACTGTGATCATTTAGCATTAAAAGAAGTTTAAGTTCCTTTTCTTTTCAGGAAATCGGCGCGTTTCGTTTGAAGAGTTCCTGCCTATCTTTATGAAGGAGAAAAAGAACAACAGAGAGGTGTCTATACAGGAGTTTATAGACACTCTGAACGTCTTCGATAAGGACGGCGCAGGCAAAGTATCATCCGGGGAACTTCGTCACGTGCTAACGGCATTGGGTAAGTTCGTACCGTATTTATTCGATTAAACGCCGCAGCGTTTTTATTAAATTTTTAGCGTTTTTAATGCTCCGTTTATTCAAGGGAGGTGTTTATTTCCAAATAATTTTTTTCAAATCACTGACAACAGTTATTGCAGCCTCGTTCCTGGGAACGAGGTTGCAGTTATTGTAAATCGTCAGTTGTATATATTTTGTAATTTAAAGGTTCCAGTATCTCCCTTATTTTGCTAAGATAGAATCGTTAATGTCTGGATGGTGTAAATTAGCAAGTTGTACCGACGTTTTTCTTATTATCCTCGAGTAAACGGCGCATTCTTCTGATTAGGTGCGGCGTTTATTGGTAATTTTGCTTTGATCTACGGCGTTTGATCGAGGCCGCCGCGGCGTTTAATCGAATAAATACAGTATGGGGATAGGATATGGGCCTCGTAATGTAAACAAGGCGCTCCCATAGCCACCGTATATTTGTGTTGAAATTTTATTTTGGTTTAAATCTAGTTTTCTTTGTTTCAAACTTGTTATTAGACATTGCCTGAAGGCAGAAGAGAAAGAAAAGCCGAACATAGACTTAGGCTTTACCGTGTGCATAGAGCCTTCCTTCTTTCAGTTTAGCTAAAAATTGTTCGGGAATATTTCCCGGCGCTGGTTTACGATCAAGGACTGTATCTTCCTATTCCACTAAATGCGTTTATTCTCTCTCAAGTTGAGTTCAATGTTACACTCTTAATGCTCATTCCGTTCTAAACTAGAGCTCTAAATACATCAATGACTTATACTTTGACTAAAGAGAAATACAATAATGCTACGGTTAATTCTTGGCTCCCTGAACCCTATTACGTTGCGTAGCCTTCAATCTGGCCAAAATTGATCATCGTTTCCCTTAAATCAGTAAGTGATCTATATTATCTATGCAACCGGTAAGTAAATGTCACGCAGTGAAAAAAATCATCGACATTCAGTACTCGAGTATTGTTCGCAGAGGTTCAATTCATTTCTAATTTACGAGGGAGCATTCACTAAGGGTCCCAGTCCACAGGGGTATTAGAGTCCCATTTGCCACTTTAGACATTAGAATGAAACTGGAACGAGTTCACTTTCGCAAAGACTCCTGGGACTGTAGCTAGGGACCCCAGTACGATCCCAGAAACAATTGCGTTGTTCCAGTACCCCCCCGCCCCCCCGCTCGTTTCTAAAGTGGCCAATTAGATTCTTGTGGACAAATGATTGAAATGACGAACAAAGACCAACCTCGTTCCCATCGCTCTTTATTGGAAGAAGCCCTGGGGATTTCCCCAGTAGCAATTCCAGATGCGGAAACAATTGCTGAACACATTTCGACTCCAGTTCCCTTCTCTTGTTTCTAAAGCGGGCGAATGCCTAATAACACGATACAAAAAATGCCTCGGACGTTCGACCGGGCTGAACCTGTGTATGACTGAAACTAAGACTTGTACATCTCACAGGGAACCCAAGTAGTAAGTACAGTAGTGAACAAAACCAATTTAAGCACTGAAGCAAACGTACCAACTCCGCGGTATGACCAGTGCCTTACGTATGCGCATAACTATATAACCCCGGTAGTAGCAGCTATGGACGGATGCCGTAAGAGAACTGCCGTTTGCGGTTCCCAACCAACAGCTAACACTTGTCTACGGTAGAGCTGTTTTGCACTCGCCTCGGCAATAAAAAGGCTCTGAGAAAGGCGCACTTTGTCCTTACAGAGATCCGATGGCTTTGCCATACATATGAGTTGCCATGTGTACTTCAGTGCTTAACCCCCGCCATTGTACTACATTCTTTTCTTCGTCTTGTAGGCAACAAGCTTAGAAATGGCGAAGTCGATGAACTGTTCAGTGACGTCGGGGAGTACCACGGATTTATTCACACAGCAGGTATTTGTCTAGTTTCAAACCGAGGAGGGCTGGGTACGAGTAACTTCTCCGAGGCGCTCTGGCGGCGGGGAGGAAAAGGAAGGAGAGCTTGCAACTACATCTCTAGAATTTGAATTCCACCCCCAATTCCCTTGTGGCTACCCGTCGATTGAGCTGTCAGATTTCCACCAATCAGCGCGAAGTGGAATCGAGCGCGAACAAAAATTGAAAAACACGTGAAAGTACGCGCCAAGGCTAATGGCGTCATTACTAATATCATCTCAGCCAATCAACATTGCGTACTCCTGCAAACAGATAGCAGACCAGCAAACAGAAGTTCCAGTGACATCTTATGACGTTAACCGTTTTACTTTTCTTTTCATCCCCAGATTTCGTGAAAATGGTCATGTCCAACCCATAGCCAAGAAAGGAGACTCGTGTATAATGGCAGATATATAAGTTTTTAAAATACGGCATTTACTCAAAACAGCGCCCTTGACTCTAACACCTCGCCTTTTTAAAGTGATTGAGTAAATGATAGACCTAAAGAATTCTTCTAAATGCACATTAAAACTTGTCTTTTTAAGGAAAAGAGTACTATTTTTTTTTCAATTTTTTAATGAGACGGCAGAGAATTTAATAAGAGTGGTGGCAATTTTTCGGGTTTATATAGAAATCGGCCAATGTAGCTGATAAAACAAGGCTTTCGATTTCCCTACGATAACGTAAAAAAATGTATGGCATTGTATGGCCGGTATGGTGCACAACGATAGCCCTCGAGCAAATTTTACCAGCAAAAGAGGTTTACTTTAAGCCAGTAACGTCCAGTAAGCTATCCAGGGAGCCCAAGAAGGAGTTGATTTTGTACAGTGCTGGCCGGGCCACTTCGGCGCAAGTCGAATCGGCCATCTTTGGATTCTCTCCTTGGGCGAGTTTCATGAAGTCTTCTGAATTTTTTCGCTAGCTGGGGAAGTTTGATTGGTTTCCATATCCGGGGCAGTTCAATTTCTAAGAGCCTGGAGGGTTTACTTACCTTTGGAGTTCGAATTTCGTGGATAACGAGGTGTTAGAAAAGGAGCGATGGCGTCTGAGATATCATCTCTTGCCACCTACCCTGTCAATTAAATTTTATGGAGACAGAATTTGAGCATACTCTTATGAAACTTTGTGTCGGCGTTAAGAACAAAAACAACTAAGTGCAGAAGAAGTTTCATTGAGTTTTATTTGGTATTCCCAACAAATTTTAGGACCGCAACTTTACCCCATGCAAACAATCCAATTTTACAGGAATCGTACGGTTTTGTCCCCACTATGCGTCATTGTTGATAGGATAAAGCTCCAAACAATAGCCTTCAGATTTAGTACTTTCGCTTGCAATTACTCAAAGAGTCTTTCACTCTCTTCATCGTAAACAGCCTTGGTTGAAAGAGGCGGGCGCAGAAAGCGACTGGAAACCAAAAGTATTCTTGCCTTCATAAACATTCGCTGCCCAAAGAGTTATGCCAGCCGTCTCATTCGTATGAAGAGTTTCAATAAGCAACCTGGTTACTAGTTTCCCCGGCTCTTTTACCGTCCCAAGGACCTGGGAAGGAGCTGGGGTTAATCCGTAAGCTGTGACTTGGTTAACACTTGTAGTGAACTTCTGCTCTTTACTAGAATCAGCGTCAAAGAGAAACAGCTGGAATGAGATATTGAAGGGAAAGGTCTTCATGAAGCAAGAGGAACTGAACAGCTTTCCCATGGACGATATCTGAAAAAAAAAATTACCGACAAAAACAAAATTTAAATTTTCACTGTCAGATATTCAATGGAACCAATAGAATGACAAATATGTGAAGCTTCTATAAAAATTATAAGCACAGATAAATAATTATTAACCTATTAGGACCTGGGAACGAGGTAACGTGACAGTAAGGCTTAAACCTAACAGAATCCACGACTGCGTGACAGCAAGACCTGGCCGTACAGATCCGAACTGGCTTGACAGTAAAGGCGGATTTCCACTGTCGCGTAATTTTAACATACGTACGCACTAAATTTTGCGGCAATGTATGAAGAGTCGCACGTAAACGTCAAAGATGAACCTCGCTCAACTTTGTCGTTCAGGCGCAACCTTTCATACATTGCCTCAATTTTATTTACGTACGTAAATTTTACGCGAAAATGGAAATCCGCCCTTAATGATAGAAACCTACAGAGTGGAAGTTCGAGTTGTAAACGTAACCACGGCATTCAATGGTGGAAAAAATATTATATACTTACTGCATATGACTTTACTTGGGTTAACTTGCTGCCCGTGAAGAAAAGTCGCCAACTTTTTTATGTCGACTCTAGCCTCTGCCATCTTGTCAGGATCACGGTTGTGGTGTTGCGAAGAATCGCCTTCTACAAAATTAATTCAAATAAACAATAAATCACTGGCAAATAAAGTTACCTCCACTAAGGTACAGTAAAACGGGCAACAAAAAACATGCAACTTGTTTTTCAACATTGCTACAAAATGAGTTGAAGAGCGATGTTGCGCGTTTTACCATCCACATCAAACCTGTCTGGCAACAAATCAGGTTGTTACCAGGTTTCTTCTCGGATAAGGACGATAAACCGTAGGCCTCGTCTCACAAGCCCTTGCACATGTAATAAATCTGTGGGACGTTAAAGAACCCACACACTCTTCGTAAAGATTAAGACACGTAGTGCCCGGTGTAGTGGTCTATCTCACTTTCACACTCATGTATGGGGGCATCATTACTCATTCCTTCATTACTTGTAAACTGCGCCTTAAGCAGTCTGGCAAAAGTCCCCCAACCAGTGTTGTAAATTATCCCTGAAAAGCCCTGAGGGGAGTGGATAATAAGATATTTACAATTTACAGTTTGAACGTGGGTGGTAAAACGCGCAACACCGCTATTCAACTCGTTTTTCAGCAACGTCGCAAAACAAGTTGAACGTTTTTGTTGCCCGTCAGTTTTACTAAGAGCGCCTAGTAAAACTGGTCAGAACTGGCTGATCGGACCTTTATTTTGACAACGAAATGGGCATTTTAGAGCGTTAAAGTTCTTCTACTGCTTTGCGTCTGATTTAAGAAGAGTTTGATCTGGCTGATCTGTCTTAACACAGGGGCACCCAACGTCCATTTTCGGAAAATATCTGTTCGGAAGACGATTAGAGATCTAGAATTTTCGGAACATTTGTTGTAAAATTTCTTGCTTGCCTGCCTCTCCTAGGATTTTCGAACATCTGAAAAATGGTATAATTGCCGATTTTTAACGGATTTTAACTCTTAAAACGGTCACCTAGAATTTTTGGGAGCCTTTTTTCTTGCTGAAAATTTCGAAAAAGTAAGTTTTGATTTCTATAATTTTCGGATCACTAGACTTTCAGCTACGAAATCCGAACAGATGAAAAATGTTTAGGGGATAAAAAATATGCCTATGTCTACCGTTTATATACTAACATACGTTCAACAATGCTATGTTTAAGTGGTTTTGAACTATATTCTCGTTGGGTGCCCCTGTTAACAGTGGAATTCTTTGTGCGAACTTGGGAACTGGTCTGGCCGGGACGACTATGGCAGGCCCCTTAAGACTTTTATTCCACGGGTACCAAAGGTATCAGTTTCAAAATATTCCCTGACTTTTTCCTAACACATTAGGATCATTATAAGTTTCTGGGAAACTGCCCACCTACCCCTCCCCTAAGCCAAAATTTTGCCCTAAGCTAAGTAAGAAGTAAGTGTTTTAAAATGTTGGCTTAGGGGAGGTGTAGGTAGGCAGTTTCCCAGCAACGTATAATACGTTTAAAGTAAAAATTTCCCCACCAAATATACACAAAATGTAACATACAGTAGCAACCTCTAGCTTCTTATTACACGGTTTTTTTTTCATTTTGCGTCCATTTCTTTGAATATAAAGTATCCGTATTTTTGAAAACGGACACTTTTTTCCGCCTTCCAAACCTCTGCGTCTACATGTTGCGTTTTTTTTATCATTTTCGCTCGTCCACACGAAAACGCAATAATGAATGAAAAACGGTTCGGTACAATCTTTGACTGGAGCATGCGCATTTACTGGTATCCAACACTGTGACGTACATGCAACCGTTTTCACAAACCCTTTGTTTTCACCCATCCACATCGAACAGCAAACGGCGTTTTCAAAAATTTTCTCTCTCGAGAGCAGTTTTTAAAAGATACGTTTTCGGTGACCGTTTTCAATAGATACGTGTGGACGGAAGGCCAAACTGGAGAGAAAAATCTCCGTGTTCCAGCAAAAACGGATACGTGTAGACTGTCAGTACCGTTTTTAAACAAGACGACTCTACCGCCTCAGACAAAAAACGGTCATTTCTGAAGGAAGGTGAGTGACGTTCGGATAGCCTGTGTGGTAGTCATTAATCGAGACAATTAGATAAATACTACAGTCAATCCTGTATCAAGCGGTCATTTGCCAAGTCTCGACACCTGAATTACTTCCCTTTATTACAGTAAAAATGATCTGTATTAAGCGGTCGCGGTCACCTCTTCCGAGGTCTCAAAGAGTTATTTTTTATGCCTTCACTTGCACGGTGTACGGCATTTAATTTTCTTTTTCTTCCCTACGTTTCACAAGCAGAGGTAGAAACAAATGGAAGTCAATTTATCATGAGATAGATATTTCGCTCTTTCACCATTTTCATTTTCTTGGATAACTCTTAAGTTTATCAAACCTGTATGAAGCGGTTAAACTGTAATACGCGGGTATAAGCCCCCAACGGTGACCTCATAATATTAATTAAAGGTACACAATTCCAAATAGATTAAGTTTTTTTCTGCAACATACCCCAAGTAGGCGTGTCCAGGTGCTTGAAATGGGTCTTAACTGTTACCGAGTCAGTCTCAATTCCAAGAGTCATATAACCATTCTGATTGGCGGACAGTATCTACCAATGAAAAACAGTTTTAAAACAATTGAGCAAATTCTATTTGGAGGGTAGGATTATTGCGGTACGCGTAAGGAAAAAAGTAGGGTAAATTATAAATTAAGAGCAGTTATAAATTGATACAAGTCAGTAAGAAATACAAACGCTGACCAGAAAATTGCTGAGGTTCTTCATTCTCTCAGTTACATTTTTTACCACTTTCATTGATGGCATGTAGATGCTTACCTAAAAAACAACAAACACTGAGTAAGCATAACAGTGAGAAAAAACAAAGAACAAATAAAACCTCTTTGGTTGCACTGTTGCATAGTACTGTTTATTGCTTANTACAAACGCTGACCAGAAAATTGCTGAGGTTCTTCATTCTCTCAGTTACATTTTTTACCACTTTCATTGATGGCATGTAGATGCTTACCTAAAAAACAACAAACACTGAGTAAGCATAACAGTGAGAAAAACAAAGAACAAATAAAACCTCTTTGGTTGCACTGTTGCGTAGCACTGTTTATTGCTTAGCATTTAACACAGGGAAATTTTATTGCTTGTATACACTTCTTCTTTGACCACACACTATGCACAAAGGAACACAGGAATACAAAATGACTGGTAATAAAGCCCTCTATAGGGAGGGTATCCTGTGTTGCAGGGGGGTCATCGGAGGGGGAGGTAGGAAAGGAAAGTACTTTACCCATTCATGCTTTTCTTTCCCTCCCAAACCTCCCCATCCCCATTTTTGCACCTGCCATGCAGGCTAAAGGAAGGGAAATGGTGAAACCTAGCAACACTATTTCTTGTGTGAGAGCCTAAAATAATCATGGAGTCGTCATGGAGCCAACTCAAAGATGCGATACTGAATACTCACATCAAAATCAGGCATGGATGGTTCTTCATATTCTTCCCAGTTCCTCTGAGGAATAACACCAACTGGTACATCATGTACCACACTTCTTGTGTGACTGGTAAGGGATGGCTGAAAAATAACAATCAAGTCAGAAACATGAGGGTAGTTAAAATATCTACTGTCAAATGATAGTGTGCTTTCTACTTGGCTAGATTCTCCTAGAAGACTAAATGTTTCTTCCCTGTGAAACAAAAAGAGAATTTCAAATACGATCAACAGTCAGTAAGGACCTTATTCTTTTCATAGTCCCCTGACTCAAATTACACTAGTCTTTTTAGACCACTTTCATTTTGTATTACTTCAAATTCATGGTTGTCAGTAAGTAATCTACTTGCATTTTATTGACAGCCTTATCGGCATCCAATTACTGTATGTACAAGTACACTAAATGAATAGCTGTCGAATTGCAATGCCGGTTTTATAACAGCTTGCATTTACTTTAGAAAGCCAATTTTCAGGTGACTGTCTAAAATCATTTTCATAAATGTTGCAATTAGCTACATGTATAATGTTTTGTATGGTAAAGTTTCTTGATTTCAGGGTATGCAGTCCTGTCACTTTTTTCAAAGTAACATATTATGGTATTTTTCTCCTTTATTAAAACCACCATAAAATAACTAATTATCACGAGTTTTACAACTTAAAAATTGTTAAATCCACGATTCACTTTATGGCCTTTCAACCTGTGATAATTTTTAGGGTCATATATCCCACTTTAACTTTGGCATGACAGGGCTAAAAAGACCTTGAATTCCAGCTTGTCCTTTGAGCAATCAGCACTCACATTTTGCTTCATTGGGGCCACTTCTTACATGTCTTAGTTAATGATTTTGTTAAAGGATGACATGCCTAGACCCTTCCCCACTGAACAAGTTGAAAAGTTACTTGAGATAGGTAATGTGTTCAGCAAACCTGCAAGGGGCTTATTGCACACAACCCACTCATTATGTACACATGTATACATGTAGGTTACAGGTAAAAATTATATTCCAGGTCAAAATCTTTTAACCTAGGTTGATTCTCAATTTCCTATATCTCCTAACCGTGATTATTCTTGAATTTGGGCTAGGAGATAAAGCGGTGAAAGGAAAATTAGAATCAACCTAGGTTAAAAAATTTTAACGTGAATTTAATTTTGACCTGTAACGTATACATCAGTCACAATGAAAATGAGTTCTTTGTCTCGGAATCTAGCATTTGAGTTTTGTAACAAAATTTATTGTTGCAATGATGGTCATACACTACAAGTTGTCAATGTATTATGGAGCTTACCAAAGTAATCTCAAATGTCAGGCATGGGGTATGTTTCTTTGCCAGCTTTATTTTCACTGCTTGTGCACTGGCAGCTGATTTCATTGCCCTTGTGAGATTTTCTGGCATTAACTCAAGATATATGTTGTTGGTTTCATCTTTCCCTTCAATGCGATACTCATCAAAGAAATTACTCTGAAATCAAAAACAAATGAAGAACATTCTTTAAAATCATTTACATATTAAGAACATTGTCAAACACAACGGGGAACCATGCTGAGCAGAAACAGCCTGAACTTTATTACCTGAGTGACAGAGCACTTTTCATTCTGTTCCCCAACACAAATGTACATCCAATCATTAATAGCAATTAAAGAACTACCAAAAATGCATGTTTCATTTAAATATTCAGGCTATATGGACTGGGTAGCTCAATTTGTTGAGACAAAAACTTCTAAAAGGTACATGTAACCCTGCATTTCAACCTGGCAAGACCAACTGTTAGTTACTCAACCTCTCGCCTCTGCAGAGGCTCCCACTGGATATCCCAATAAAAATAGCCTTGGTCCCTACAACACAAGGAGGCCTCTGCTGAGGAGGAGAGAGGTACTTAACCCTTTAAGTATTAACCCTTTAAGTCCCAGTAGTGACCAACAGCAATTTTCTCCTAACAATGTCCATACATTGTCAAGAGATAAGGTTGTGAGAATATAAAAAATGATCACGAAAGAGAAAATGCCTTGATGTTTTATGAAATTCTCTCAACTAATTCTTAAAGGAAATGTATGGAGATCAGTTTGGAGAATTTGTATGTGGATATTGGGGCTTAAAGGGTTAAGGGGGACCAGCAGTAACTTCGTCTCAACAATACCAATACATCATCAAGAGGAAAGGTTCAAAAATGCTCTGATCATTTTTCACATTCCAGGATTGTCAAAAGTAGACAGCTGCTGGCAAAAACCACTGCCTACTTCGTTAGTATCGGCCAGCTACTCCGTTTGGCATTTTTTTTACAGATGACGTTTATTAAATAAAATATCCCTCGACTGGCTGCTTAAACAAATCAGTCGTCTACTTCAAAACTTTCTGACAACCCTGCACATTCTCCCCACTGATTCCTCATTGAAGGTAATTTGTGTGGAGATAAGTCTGGAGATTTTAAATGTGGATACTGACGATTAAAGGCCTGCAGTAAAATACTGAGTAGACAGCGGAGACTTTATAACACATTTGCAGAACAAATGTGTTCTTAAAATTGGCTATTTTTTCTGTTATTGTGGGTAGGGTGGGTGGAAGGGTTCAACATCAATGTGGATGGGATGCAAGAAGATCTAAATGCAGTCCACAGATTTGACAGAAAACTAAAATTCTACTTGTGGTATGCGTCCCATAGGACGCAAAGATTGATTGATCAATCTGAAGATGTTTTTGTAGAACATCCTGTTTGTGTGATTTCTGTGGCTGTTCTTGTGCTGTTGTTAAACAATGCTTACGGTCTGTCTTTCTTTTGGTCTTTGTTGTGCTTTACAAAAGAAAGAGTGTATTTTTACTTCAGTAAAGTGTAATACTAAGTTAGGAGTCTGTTTTCAGATTAACTGTGTGGTTACAACTGGGACTCAATGATTCTGGACTGGGACTCATGATTTTTTCACAAGATGAGTCCCAGGACTCACCATAACTATTTGTGACAAAATCACCGGAAAGGTATACAAAAAGGGGTACCTTTTCTCTCAAAAATGGTCTACAGCTATTTTGAGAAAGGTTGTCNGGGTTGGGAGAATTCGAGACAGTTATGCAAACCCGAGACGAAGTCGAGGGTTTGCATAACCGTCGAGAATTCTCCCAACGCCTCGAGTGTTTATATCAGGTTATGCAAACACAGGAAAAAGTTTTCTATTACTTTTATAAAATAACTTTCACGAGAAAAAACGCGAAACTTTATGTATGGCACTAATTAAAAGAGAAATTCTTACCAGTCGCAAAATCTCTTTTCACGAAGTCTTGCATGCGTAATCAGTTCTTGTTTTGCAAAAAGATGCTTTGCAAAATACGGAGTTTTCTCACTCAAAATGCCGGCTTAAGCAAAGAAAAATTGACTCACCTTCTTTGTAACGCTTTTCCATGTTTCAGCCGACGAAGGAATGGGTAAATAAAGTAAACTTGTCGAGTTTTGAACTCGAAAACTTTTTCAAATTCGTGCTTACATGATTAGCGCGTGATTGTGATGCCACAACCATGTTTACATATTCTCATGCAAACACTTCTCTCGGCCAATCAGAGCGCGCGTACTATCTTAGTTATTTTATAAAAGGTAATATGGGATATGATCAATACACTGTTCCCGACAACTGTAGCTGTCGAACCTACTTTTGTTGCTTTCCTTTAGCACTCGCAAACACATTTCCATGGCCTTTTGTGCCAATTCTTTCAAATTTCTTTGAAAAAAAGAGAACTCAAAACCACCCACAATGCATTTCAGGATTGTTGCGTGCACTTTTCCCGACAACCTTTCTCGAAATAGCTGTATAATATAAGCCTAAGGGTAAGGGGTTGGACCTCCTAATTTCACAAAGTTTAACATAAAGTAAGCAAAGTTGGACAGGATCAGATAAATCCCTGTAACTCACAAAATGACATACAGAGTTTATCAATAGCTATTAACCTGTGTTAATTCACACCATATTGACACTCCTCCAGCAGCAGTGTTATCAGTCAGAATAAAGTACAACTTTGTTGGTGTCAGTCGTAGGGCACACATCTTTGCCATGCGGGATATGGTTCCTAGCACCCCTGTAGCACCAAAAATAAAATACTTGTGATACGATAATGTTAACAGACCTTGTTCAATGCATACAGCAAATTAATAATAGCCCTCTGATTTCAATGAAAAGGTCAGCATTCATCCATTATTGAACAGATGTAATGTTTCCACTTTCATGATATTCTTTTATCACCCTGGAGCTTAAGACCACACTCTCGTATTGCTAGTATAGTGACCTCATTCATAAATTTCCTCAGTCTGTCTTCAACACTCAAGTCATGAAACATTTTAAGGTACAAAAATGTACCTAGTTGATTGCACAATGCTAACTGATACCTCTGAATCCCCGAGCAAGCAAAATGAAGTGAATCTTTTAATCTGATCTTGCCCACTCAAGATTTCCCGCATTGGTCTTGCAAAACAAAGTTCTCTTTTTGGCCATCTTTGACCAAGTTTGTTCAGTCAATTTGACTGGATATTAACCTTGATATTTTTTGCCTTTTAATCGACCTCAACTTCAACCTGGTCCATAAAAGCACAAAAAAGGACTTGACCGATATCCAGCCATCTTGACCTCATGCTTGTTCCATAACGCAGATGAACACGCATTATAGCAATCCATATTTTTGGGAGTATTTTTACTAAGTTCTAAGTTCTTTGCCTTTCTGTAGATAAAGAATGTATGCATGTGTGATCACAAGTACACTCTCCAGATGATCACTATAAAAATACATGGTGTGAAATGAGACGAAAAGAAAACAAAGCAAACAAAGGTTGCATTTTACAATGCAGGGTCAGTCCTACAAGAGACGTGTGATTTTTGTCTTAACAATATATCAATACATAATCAAGAGGATAATGTAAAAAAGAATGCAATATTGTTTAAATTATTCTGGTACAAGGTTTTTGTCCACTGAAAATTGAAGTTACTTAATTTTCTGATGGATCTCGTCTCAAGTCCTCCAAATCAGGGCAGGTAGAATTTCCTTAAGCACCAAATTTACATACCTACCAGACTTTATTACACAAAAGGCATTGTTTTCCCTTAATCTGGTTGGAGTTTTCTACCTGCTCCCCACCCCCATCCTACCAAACCCTTTTGGCCAGGATTGTCCGAAAAGTTGCTTTTCTGAAATCACTTCCAAATGTTACTAGTTTTCATTTTTCAAATTTGGCTAGTACAAAGATGTCCAAAGAGTTGAAATTTTAGCATGTTCGGATGAATATTTACAAGTTCTGGGGCTCACACAGCCTACAGTCTTAACTTTGGAATGGATTAGAGGTTTTTTCTTGGTTTCGGCATCTGCATCTGTAGTGAATCTTATTTTGACTATACCACAAAGTATTCCAAGTGGCCCATTTTCACTTAAAATACCTGTAGATACCATGTAAAATCACAGTATTCACAGTATAAATGGTATTATAAACCACCACAGGGCCAATTTTTCATCCAAATGATACGAGAAAGGACAGGCGGGGACACCATCTGGGCTATATCTCGGCTATAGTTCAGCGGGCTTTAAGTCTGATTCAAGCAGGTAGACTGGTAGAAGATAGGGATTTTCAATGAAAACGGCAAACTCAAGAAGGAAAATATCAGATGAAGCCACAAATCTAGCCATGAAGCTACCAGGAAATCAGTGCTGTGAGAAGAAACAAAAGCGTGAGTCCATGCAGAGTCAATTCAAGCCAGTGAGAGGAAAGAGTGTATGTTTTTGTAGCTCTTGATTAAAGCAAAGGTGTGATTTTCCGAGCAATGCATTTTTCGCATCTATTTTTGACAGAGAAATTTCCAGGTTGCTTTGTAAGAGCCAGAACATTAACACCGTCTTTTTTACGGATAAAGATCCATCCCAAGTTGAATTTAGCCGCTACATCGGCATTTAAGTTATCTGCCCTAGCCCTGAGCTGCACTAAATAATCCTCTTCAAAGACTGTTTAAAAACAGCTTGTTGAAACATTTTCTTTCATATTGTTAAAAAGATATAACAGGACAAGGCCCTGCGTATTCAAATGTAACACCATATCCTTTAACGAATTCTAAATATTTTTTGATTTAATACATTTTGGTCTCAGACGTCTCATTGTACATCAAATTAATTCAATCATTGCGTCTAAAAATGTATGAATCGAATATTGGTTGTAAACTTGAAAAACCTTGTTACTGAAAGTTACGTCTTGGGATGCAATTACATTGAATAAAGTTCATTGTGAAACCTTGTTTTCATGTTTTCAGTTGCTGAGCTCCCATGCACGCGATGCTCCATAGTCACGCACCACAGTTCTCCACTTGTAAATTATTTTCCTTTTCTCCAAAGTAGGTTTCTATCAAATTTTTGTTTCCTCATAAGAAAAGCAACAATTTATACTATAGAAACTGCGGTAAGTACTGTAAAATAAACATCTTCCATTTGGATTTTGAACAATGCTCCACTGAACTGTTAGTAAAACGTTTTCCTATAATAAACTCTTAATAAATGATGAGTGGAGCACTGTGCATTTGCTAACTTTCTCGCCTTGTCAGATGAAGGTTTCTTCAAAGATTACAAGAAAATATCTTTCTCGTCAAAGTTATGTGCTTAAATGATCGTCATAAAGTTGCTTAGAGTTAAAAAAAGGACAAGTTCCCATGGAGCACTGTTAAAGAATGTCACGTTGCGTGCGTGATGTACAATGAGTTGAGCAAATATTTTGCGGTAAGTTTCATGTTCTTATTTCTTGTCCAGAGTAAGTTTGGCCAAAAATCTTGGACAGGGAGGCAAATTCACCGGATATTGTCGGTGGTATTTATTTTCCGAAATGGAAGAATTGCCAGTAAAGTAAAATATTAACCTGACATTTAGCCTGATCGATTGATCGACTCACAGACACCGCCTTTTGCTAAGACTCATGTCGCCTAAAGAATGAAAAATCCTTTTGGAAATCAATGTCTTTGCTACCAAAGTTTCTAGGTAACGGGTGCTGGAATATAGACAATGTCGTTTTACTTGACTGTGGTCTGCATGTTGTAATCATCATTGTGATTAAAAGCAACCATATTTCTTAGTTGTAGCAGTTCATCGTAATTTCCATGTACTAAATAAAAGGCGCAAATGACCATTTTTTTACTACACACGAGGTTTGAGTGGTTTTGAATGTTTCTGCTCTGTTTTGCTCTTATGCCATCTGGTATTCAAGAAAATATTTCTATATTTACTTTTCTTTTAAGTAAGAAGATAGCTTTGTAGCGCGGACAATCCTGGTCAAAACGTTTGGGACACTTTACGTTTTAGGTGAGGAAAATGTAATTCATGTTGACCCCCCTCCCCTCCTGAACAGTGTTGGGTGTTACAAGTCAAACACGTTTTATATATCTTGTACACTTTATGGACCTCAACTTTGTTTAGGGGGGGTGGGGAAAAATCTTGTTAAGGCCGTGTTTATGAGTGTGTATCGCAGGTTAGCTGCAAATTCCATACAAAACCAACTGAAAAAGGGGAGGTGTCCCAAACCCTTTAGGCCAGGATTGTAGATTCCCTTTACAAAATCCACTTCATCAGGCCTCAATCACCCTGCCTAGCTTATAAAAAGCAGTAAAGAAGGCTAAATAATGTGTACTGGACCAATGTAGGGAAAACCAAATTTTACATTATTTTTGCTCATTTTTGATTTACAGGGAATGATGTTTAATTTATTTTTTAAATAATCTTTTCCATTTAAAGTTTCACAGTGACTTTTCTTTTTCTTTCAGCTCTGCTCAAAAACTAATACTTTCAAAAAATTCTAGTCAAGACTGAAGCTTTAAGAGATAAAAAGCTTCAGAACAACAGTCCATACAAAGTTCAAAATTGAATTCTTCAAATGGTTACATGTGTTGCATGAATACAACAATAATTGCTGCTGACAGAAATAATTTTAAAGTAGCATTTTGCGAGGTAAGATATCTAGCTGACGGTGTTTTACCCATCTTTATGTCATTTGTGGCCATTTCATCTGGTTTTATGTTGCTGTTTCAAGGCCTTGTCACTTGTTGGAATTTTACCCAGGTGAATATGTCGATGACCCCTAATATAACTAGAGTGACAATCCTCTCTGCTTTCATTTCTTCACCCGGTCCCACAGTTCAAATAATATCTGACATTCGGAAATCATTCAGTTGAAAGTCTAAAAATCTCATGCATTCTGATGCATTATTGGCAGAAAAAAACATTCCTTATTAATGTTATACTTTACTTTTTTATGGGGATTTGCGAGAGTAGAAAATCTTGTCTTTATACGCAGTAAGCTTACTAATTTGTACTCCCGAAGTTAGTTTTACCCGAACAAACATTAAAGAAAAAGTCAAACTACTTACGCGTGAAATGTTGGATGCAATTGATGTCCACAATCTTCGCTCGAAACCGCATGCTGGCAGATTTATCAGAAGGTTTAGGGAGGAAAAGTCACAAATCACTCAAAACTACCGCCATTTTGAAAATACCCACAATACATCAGGTACGTCATAACAGGGGTTCTTAACGAGGCGAACGCGGCATTTTGCGCGAAGCGCGAAACCATGGCGAACGATCCCCGCCAAATTCATGGTTTGAATTTTAAATTGCTGATTTAAATTTTCAAATTCAACACTTGAATTTTACATTTGAATTAAAAATTTTACACTTTTCCTTTAGAATTCACATCATTGGACAACGTTTTTCCACTTGCCTTTTAGCTTTTGAAGATCTTTGAACTCAACTTTTTTATTTGACCCTTAATTTGGTCGCTGTACATTTTCAACTCGCTCAGTCAAACCATGAAGTTTTCCCTATTCCCTGTTGTTGAAACGGTAAACATTAAAAAACAATGAAGAGCCAATGTCCGTAATTTTCGAATATCGGTTGACAGTCGTGATTTTTTTTCGAGTAAGAAATTACTGAAAATTAAGCATTTTCTTTGCGCTCGTACATAAAAACGGGATAATATCTCTGAATGAAATCAAGTCACAAAATAAACACAGACTCGTACTTTGGAATTGAGCAATTATCTTTAGACAAGCTGTATAAATGTGACTGTGTTGGCCGCAAGAAGAAACACGGTTTCGGCTCTTTTCAAAAATGGCAAATTTGACCTAACTTCACCATCAAAAAAACCCAATATGCCATTTGCACTAAGAGGTCATGTGACATCGTTTTTATGAAAACGAAAGTTATAAGATTTTGCCTTCGAAAAAGATAAGTGGGTCATATCTTAAACAAAATAATGGTGATTTGGTTTTTGAAACCCGCTCAATTTTCTTAAAATGAATAAGTTCGTATCTGGTCACGTGACCAAAATGTGATTTTTAAAACTATGAATTACCTCTCTCTGGACACAA